GCCGTCAGCGGAACAGATAGCTAGCTTCGCTCTCAATCTCATCGCGCAGCTCCTACTGGGGTTCGACAAGACGCTCGCCGACTTCAACCTTCCGGCACCAGCCTTTCGAATAGACGAACTCGAGGGCAATCGCTTTATCATGGAGCAGCTCGCGTTCGATGCCAATGCCTTAAGACAAGAGACTGACCGTGACATTCAAACTCTTAACGCCGATCAGCTCAACGCTTACCGCGAGGTCATGCTGTCCTGCAACCAAGGGGACGGCCGCATATTCTTTGTCGACGGTCCAGGCGGGACAGGAAAGACGTACCTGGAAAATCTCATGCTGAAATCGGTGCGTAGTCAAAAACAAATCGCGCTTGCAGTCGCATCCTCCGGCATCGCAGCGCTGCTGTTGAGCGAGGGACGTACGGCGCACTCAAGATTCAAGATTCCTATCGAATTGAAGCCAAACGCGGTATGTGCGATCAGCAAACAGAGCGACCTTGCAGAGATGATCCGCCGTACGACGCTAATACTGTGGGATGAGGCCCCAATGATGAGTAAATTTGCTTTTGAGGCTGTGGACCGCACGCTACGTGATATAAGGGATCGGCCGAACTCGCCGTTTGGAGGGATCACTTTCGTTATGTGTGGCGACTTCCGTCAGGTCCTACCTGTCGTCCCAAAGGGCCTACGTCCAGACTTTGTCGCAGCTTCAATTAAGGAGTCTTACCTATGGACGCATGTGAACGTCTGGCATTTGCGAAAAAACATGCGCGCCGTCGATTCCAAGCCAACCGCAGACCTCGGAAACAAGACGTTTGCAGATTGGCTGCTTGCTGTTGAAGAGGACCGGCTTGAGAAGCTTGACGAGGACCGTATACGCTGCCCTGAAGCAATGGTTATTGACCCTCAATCTCTCGACGAGCTGATTAAATCCATTTATCCTGGCGTTGCGGATGCTGTAATGAATCCACGAGAGTACTTCAGCCGTCGTGCTATCCTTGCCGCCCGCAACGACAACGTTGCGGACATCAACACGGCGGTACTCAACATAATTCCTGGAGGGACTTACGAATTCCTCAGCGCCGACAAGGTTGATGACGAGGAGGGCGCCAATGTCATTCCGACCGAGTATGTAAACCGACTAGACATAAATGGCTGGCCGCCACATCGCCTGCAGCTTAAAGTTCGCTCACCCATCATGCTCTTACGGAACTTGGATGCATCGAGCGGCCTGTGCAACGGCACCCGTCTCATCGTACGCCGGTGCTCCCCACGTGTTATTGAAGCTAAAATTCTGATGGGAGCTCACGCTGGATACGTGTGCTTCATCCCACGGATCGTGCTAATTTCCGAGCAGTCGGGCCTTCCATACGCCGTCAGGCGGAAGCAGTTTCCTGTGCGCTTGGCTTACGCAATGACAATTAACAAGTCCCAGGGACAGACACTGCAGCGAGTAGGTATATGTCTTGCAAAAGACGTATTCTCGCATGGACAATTGTACGTTGCCTTCTCACGTGCGACGGCACCTCAGAAGGTGTCGGTACTTTTAGAGGCAAGCTCCACGCTGCGTCGACTGATGCGCAATGTTGTATATAGCGAAGCGCTGCGTTAAAATTATCAAATATAGCAAAGCGGTGTGTTTGAAATGCAATGTTTAATATAGCAAAGCTCTGCGTAAAGGATGCAAATGTATCTAAAATACAACAACCAGATCAGACTTTGAGAACCATGTCCGTCGGTACGACGGGTAAATACCCTAGTTTTCTATATAATAAAAGAATTGTGTCCGTCCGTCCGTCCGTAGTGCTCCTTTTCCGGCATTCGGATTGGCTAATTTTGCATTATTGTCTGATTTTGCATTGGCTGATACTGTATTTTGCATAGCTAATAACATGAGCAGATTTCCATAACAGGATATATAGTCCATTTAGTGTGTCCGAATTACTAGCACTAATAAAGCACACAGATCTCCGTTCAAGATCTTAGCATCAAAAAGCTGTTTGACTTACAATCATTTCTTAAATATACTTGATTCTACATTTATGGTTTGCTCGCAACTTTCCGTCGGAACGACGGGCTCACCGACCAGCACACATTTACCTTGAAACGACAGGTACCCCATGGACCTTCATACACACTGTTTCTACTTATCAGTTTACCTAAGGTAACTAGATTTTCTTAAACAAAATGATAATCCAATATATTATCAGCGTTGACTTTGCGCACCATACCCGTCGGAAAGACGGGTGAACACCCTATTAACTCGCTGCGTTTTCTAAAGATTCCTACAGTATATATTACTGTTCGCACCGTCGGAACGACGGGTGAGCACCCTAGTATATATATATATAGATCGGATACGCGACTCTTTAGAAGCGTATCCTGTCGCATGAACTTAAATCTAGATTTAAGATCGCAACTGACGTCTTTCTGAGACGTCGCGATGCCTAGCTTCAACTAGCGTCATCCCTTCTCATGTGAATCCATCAATGGATATCACATTCACGAGGGTGGATCACATTTGTGTATCGCACCCAAGTGACAGGTCAAAAGTAATCATGGATACTTTTAGACCAAACATTAAGTATATTACTCAATGTTTACGTGTAACTAGGTGCCCTGTTACATGTGGACCTTGTGGCGCGTGTAAAAGCATTGACCAAGGCTTATAACAAAGTGCAAGTAAATGGCTCGTGAGATTGACAGATCGATGCAAGAAACTATATGTTGTTTACGTAGCTTGCTGAGAATGATGGATGTTCATTGAAATAGTGCACAGAGTTCTTTCGCAAGTGTATTACGAACACGCACGGCTTTAAAGCTGATACAAGCAGAGGATGGTGGCGTAAGTGATTTTCAAACGCTCTGATGGTCGATGACCTTTTTTTAGACAATTGTGCAACGCTGAACAATTACTTCGGCTACTGACACAGGCATCATTTGTAATGCAACGCGAATCGACTTCTTTAGCGGATGTCCTCAATATTTTTGGTTTACTGTATCAAGCATTTTCGAAAGCGAGCCAACACGCAGATGAATTGAAAGAGTTATTGGAAAAGCGATGGGAACAGCAAGAGCATTGAATGTTTCTTCTAGCTTTTCTATTTCATCCCAAATCGCAAATATTTTCCGAAGTATCGCACGTTTCGAAAGAACGCTTGAGATTGACAAGATTATATAATACTCTATCCTTTACTACAAGAAGTTCATCGGTGACCTCACAGAAGCCCAACCGGAATTTTAGCTGTGGAAGTGAATGATTGGGTTCAGGACGCGATACCAGATGCTCAATTCCTGATATCTTTGTCTCCGATACATTTTTGATAGGCGCTAAAGCGAGCATGACCTTTTACATTACGTTTGGCCATCTTTCTACTTTCACTTGTGATTCAAACAACCACTTGCGAAAAATTGTTCAGCGCGTGTGGTAATTTTGTAACGAAAAAAGCGAAACAAACTGCAATCACAGAAGGTACATCATCTGGCACAAGTGAAAAGATCTGTAGCCAAAATGGACGAGAAGGACTACAATACTGCGTCTACTACATGGTCGAAAATAATTTCGCCCACAGAATTACCGCGAATAGATATCGAAGAACAAAAGGCAGTTAAAAGGACTATCGTGTTCGATGTATGTATGTATGTTAACGCGTTACGCGAGCCGTCTTGCCACCAAAGCAACTCAACTTCCGCATGCGTCGGATTATCTCTCATTCTCTACAATTCTCTCTACTCTCGCCAGGGTCCAGTAAGCGGCGCGCTAAAGGCCATCCAGGCTGCACGATCCTGTGCACACAGGCGAAGGAGGTGCAGGTCTGAGGCCAGTCGACAGCGGTGTCCAGCGGTAGGAATCTTGCTTGGATCCTTGGATGTCTATCTTGTCAACAGGTCCTACCCAGGGAGGGTTTTTTGTTGCTTGCACCGTGGAACAAAGGATATGCGAGCGTACCTAAGCGGAGTTGCCGGGACTTCGGGACTTCGGGCGTGGCGGCGTACATCGTGGCGGCTTGACTGGCGGCTGGGGGTGAGAGCGGCATGAGAGAGGTGTGTAGAGGGAGAGAGGCCCGTCCTAAACTGACGGATACCGCGAAGCATCCGTCCAAGGCCCAACTAGCATTAAGCTAGCTCAGGCCTTCCGGGAGGGCGTTACCCCAACCCGACCAGGATTCGTGTTTGATGATCTTGATCATATTGATGAGCAAGAATACAATGAATCCGTTCATTTGATTGATCAGGCTAGAGCATTACATATGATGATTGAAGTTTTGCGAATGAAGCACTCTGATGGAGCTGAGTATCGCCAAAGTCATCCTTATCCAGACCACAATGTCCCTAATTTTCCGCAAGAGAGACTCACAAGTGTCAGAAGTGTTAAGTTAGATTTGGAATCTCTGTGTCCTACATCCATTGAGGCGTTAGATGAATTTAATATCCTTGAAGAATAAACTCTTGGTTAACTAATGAACCATGTGGCTTAACCAATTAACCATTGTTAAAGCACTCCAAAGTCTATTAACCCGTTTAGTGCCACCACTGGTTGATTGCGTGGTCAAGTTGGTAGAGAGTTTTCTTAGGATTTCTCTGGAAAAGAATACATTAGCTGTGAATCTCGTCAAGCTGAAACTGTCTAAGCATACGGAGCACAGCACCTTAGCCTTTAACGCGTGGGTCAAGTATGCGGCAACGGCAGCGGCAGCTACAATTCTTACAATACGATACGGATAGTGTTTAAGCTTCTGGCTCCGTTTTAGCACGGCACTGGGTGGAACCCAATAGTGAATGCATATCAGGAGCATGTAGTTCCTAGTCGATCGTCTTAAAGACCTGACAAGTTTAAAACAAAGTTTTGAAGAAATTCAGCAATAGCTTCTTTGCGAAAGAACTAAATACTATGAGCCAGGGATACCTAGTTCTGAGAAAAGAGGGACCTGGCAAAGAGAATCATTACTAAGCGAAGAAGATTGATTTGCAGTACATAATCGGATTGTAATCCAACTGACATATAGTGAATAATGTCGTCGCTGTTGCGTTGGATGGACGATGACGACGAAAGTGACAGTGACTGGGTGTCAGAATATGAGAGCGAGTCAGCTTCCTTGGTCTTTGAGGACGAAGACGGCATGCCTGTCCTGTCGTCTGAAGAACGTGCTAAACTGGACAAGATTTTCAATGGAAAAGCGTATGCCCCGAAAGCTTTTCGACGCTCAGGATTTGAGAAGAAGCAGCAAAAGCAAATTTTGCTTGAACGTATTGCTCACCAATTAAGTGGATACAATGAGGATGTGGTGACGACCTCGGTAACACGTAAACAGCTCATGTTCCGCACATTGTGTCATCGGGAACAGGTTGGCACGTCATCCAAGGTGCAGCTGATTAAGATGCAGGAGACCTTCATGCCCTTTCAAGAGAATAATCAATGTCGTGTTGTTGACTCAGTACGCGACCGACTGTACTGTGGTGGATTTAACAGCACGGGCTCGAGATTTTTAACTGCTGGCCAACGTGGAAAGATCATGCTTTACGATACAATAGACTGGACCCATGCGGCATATTTACCTGTACGGGATGTCAGTTGGACGGTGACGGATGCTAAATTTACCCCGGATGACAAGAATGTCATGTACTCTACTATCAACAGCAACGTTCGTATGGTGAGTACGGACTTTGATGAGAATGGGAAGGAGTTCATGTTTCCACTGGCACGTCGGACAACAGGTAGGGGCGACAGCCGTTCGATGCCGATGAGTCGGCTCGGGCGTTTTGGTGTATGGTGTATCGATATCAATGCATCAGGCACGGAATTTGTCGCTGGTACATCGCAGAGCAGTGTTGTGTTGATGAACATGGAGACCCAAGTGCCCATGTGTCACGTTGTTGGTCACCACGATGATGTTAATGCTATTGCGTTCGTGGACGGCCCTCTGCATACGAATGTTTTTGTGAGCGGATCAGATGACTCGCTGATTAAATTGTGGGATCGTCGCGTCCTGTCCGAGTCGAACCCGAAGCCCCAAGGTGTTTTCCCAGGCCACACTGACGGCATCACGCACATTTCGTCAAGAGATGATGGCTACTACTTTATTTCGAACTCAAAGGACCAGACTACCAAGCTCTGGGATATTCGGAAGTGCTTTTCATCGCATGCTTATGATGAATTGGCGCCTTTCCGCAGACCTTACTCATGGGACTACCGCTATCAGGCGTATCCAGGATGCAACATGGTGCCAGTTGAGCACCCACATGACAAGTCGGTGATGACATACCGTGGTCACATGGTCATCGAGACGCTTATTCGGTGCTACTTCTCGCCGCTCCACTCTACCGCGCAAAAGTACATTTACACGGGATCAGCGGACGGTCGTGTGTACGTGTACGACAGTATCTCTGGCGACCTTGTAGAGATCTTTGCAATGAAGCCTAGCGGACTTACCCGCGATGTGCGCTGGCACCCATTCGAGCCCACAATTGTATCTCCGGATTTCTATGGCAAGTTGTGCGTCTGGCAGCGTCAGGACGAAGAAGACAAACTACCTGGAACTTGAACGAGTGTACGACTGTAGGGAATACAGTTAACGGATGAATATCATGGAGCAAATGAGTAAATGAACTCTGGTCATCGATTCAATGAACCCATATCAATATACAATACAGGTCGAATCCCGGGGGTTTTTTTTTTTTTTTAACGCTGCACATCTCGACTGCAGCAGTTGGAATAGGAAGTGGACGAGCTTGGACTCTGCGATCGTCTCATATGGACATGACCAGATACAATTTACTGTTATCAGTCAATAATGGAGCCATTCCACCTCCACTTTGAGCTCTTTGAAATGCCATTTATATCGTAAACGCGTGCGATACGGGACTGGTTTACGTCGTGTCATTTTGCTGAAATTGTCGGGCATGAGGTGGCTCAGAAACTGCGTGAATTGCTCCATGAACAGCCTTGTGAGCTGCTGGGCCGACGTCCAATATACGTCGAGTTTGCACTACCAAGGAAAGAGCAAGAATTTCGTGATCGACTCCTGTAAATGCACCATGTTCAACGTAATGCTGATTCTCCTGAACGACGAGTTCCAGGACTGAGATTTGAGTCTGAGTTTATTACTAAAGCACAAGAAGATGCGTGTCTTGCCTTCTTTTAGAGAGAGAATGGGGCTCATTGGGCTCATACCATCCGAGCGAGACAAGTGCAGCACTTTGGCTACACGTTTAACTATGATACGAGGAGATGTGACTCTAATGAGCCGATGAAAGAACCGATACCACAAGTGTTGCAATTGATAATTGACAAGATAGAAGAATGCAGGATAATGGATGGCGACAAACCCGATCAGATTACAGTGAACGAGTATCTACCGGGACAAAAGATTGCTTTTCACTTCGACACCCACTCGGCATTTACGACCACCATTGCAACATTGAGCATCTGTAGTGAAGTTGTTATGGACTTTCGGCACCCAGATGGCATTCAAAATGAAGGTGTGCTCTTGCCAGCGCGTTCACTAACTGTTATGAGCGGGGTGAGTCGTTACATTTGGGTGACACAGCCCATGGTTGAAAGTTGCTCTGTGCGTAACAACGCTGCCGAGTGGTTCTGTGATCGCTGATATTAATTGCGGAAACGGAAATACATGAAGTGTGTCGATTCAGCGCAGAGCTTTGTAATGGGCGGTGACCGTAGCTCACGACTTGTGTTAATCTGTCGAGACCGCGGACTTGAAACGATGGTGTGTGACGCACTAGTGGTTCCGTTGCGCTCGTACTCGTGTGATGCTGCGCTGCCAATCGCGGTGCTTCACCATCTCAGTACTCTTGGCCACCGACTAGCCTGTGAAGGAGCTGCTTCGTGTTTTGCGTGTGAGCGACGAGAACCCGTCATTTGCTCATGGGCCCATGAGCAAATAAAAGGTTAGAAGTTACTACATCCAACCACAACCGTAGCAAACTGCAACATGAACCATCACCACCACTAGGCCAAGCATAAGCGTGTCGAGCAGTATTGAGTCAGGTATCGTAGCACGTATAATAAATCCGCCAAGCACAATGCTACTAAGTTCACGTAGGAGCTTGATGTCGCTTCTTGGCGCTCTGGAGAGCACCGACTTTCGCACATAGACTTACTATTGGTCGCAGGATGTGAAATACGAACCTGGACAAGTTTACAAGTTCCGCTTTGTCATGAAATAATGCGAGGATGTCCTGTCGAACTCCTAGCGAAAGGGCAAGCATGGAGCTGCAAGAACAGGATGCAGAGACATATTCGGCATTAACAGGACGTTTTGTCTGCAAATAAAACGAATACGAACGGTGTTTAGAGAAGAGTGTTAGTGTTAGAACCGGCGTGAGCTTGTTGACTGCAGACTAGCAAATGCAAAACACTTTAACTGGAAGGTGTAGACGTCATCTACTTACCAAACTGGAAACACACAGTAATCTTGAGCAGGACAAAATGCTGTAAGATTTTGGATCAATGTGCAGACGTGCGACTGTTACATGTCCAGCACATCGTCCAGCCATTCTTCAAGCTGTTCACTTTCACCCGCAGATTTTGTTGGAGTTGGTGATGTGCTCAAAGGAACTGACGGTGCAGCAGTTTTTTTACCTTCACTGGATGTCGATACACTCAGATTGAGCAAGAAGTCCAACTCCTCATCCCCTTGCACAAGTTTCGACGGAACTGTGGCAGGAGTTGCAGCATTCATAGCAACGTGTTGATCCGATTCCCGATCATCTTCATCTTGTGGCTTAAATGGTAAGTCAGTCTACCACAACAAGAAACAAGAACATCAAAGAATTAGAACAAAGTACACGGATATCGACCGACAATAAAGAGACGTACACAATACTTCGGATCCATCCGGTATCGAATATCCGGAGGAACAAACTCCAATTGTGCAGCAATCCAGTTCAAGTCCTACATAACACCACAGAAACCACATCATTAAGTACCAAAAGCTCATTAGTATCAACTTGTGACAATGTCCTTTTACCAGCAATTCAACAGCTTTATTCTCATTGACAGCGTCGTTTTTTTCCTCCCACTGCCTCATCACACGACTCTGAAAATAGTCACCACTTGTACATCCTGTTTTCTCTCTGTATTGCTGTTCGGAGGCAAAAAATTGCATCCGTCCGCTTTGTGACGGCTCCTTTGTCACTTTTTCATCGTCTTGTGTCTCGTGCTCCTCAAAGCGATACGCATTTGACTCCAGATTTCGCAAGTGAGAAGGTTGTTCTCTCTTCGATGCTCCAGTACGTCCTCCTGTGCTGTCGCCTTGTCCTCTCCCTCGGCCTCGTCCGCGTCCATGCGTCGTGCGATACTTGACCTGAGACCGTCCCATGGGTTAAAATTATAAAAACGGTTTTATAGTATTAACACCAAAAGCTCGACTTTTTAACAGATTATAACAGCCGATAGAAACGTTTCTTACACCAAATAATCACGATACTGGATGAGATTAAATGAAATCAACTCCGTTGTTTATTTCTGGTTTTATATGGCACTTAAAAAACCTCAAAAGCTCATTTACTTCTTCGACTTTTTAGTAGCGAGTTTACGCTGATAGAACTCCAACTCCTTGCCTTCCAAAATGTAGCCATCAGCACGACCCGACTGACCAGGACGTGACGAAATCACGGCCAACAAACGACCAGACGCAACTTGGTCGTCAATCTTCGGGTCAAGAACACGTGTGCGCTGACGATTCGCCAGCTTGCGCAAGACATGCTCCGATTTCTTGACGTCTTCCTCCTCGACCTTCTCCGAGTTCTTCTTGACGCCAATCTTGACACCATAGTGAGCCTCGTACCATTGACGGAACGGGGTAGCGTCGACCAGCACGACAGCGCCCTTTACGAGCGTCTTGGTACGCACCAGCTCATTGTTCGAGGCGTTGTACACGACATCAAGGATACGCGTCTTGCGAGCGCAAACCTCAGTACCCCACGAAAAGTTACCGGCCTCAAGGTGAAGAGCACGGAACTTCAAGTGACCACCACGCACACGCACAGTGTGCACACGCTTGCCACCAAGTTTAGTAGCAGCAGGCTGACGCCCGAGTTCGAATTTCCTTTTTTTACGGTGCACTTTACGCTTGCCACCAGTTTCGCGGCGCTTGTGGCGCGAATCGCGAGAGATACCTGGAAACATACAACTACCACGTTAGACTAATTCAAACATTGGACCATTACTACGCATCGGAGCAGCATCATGGCAGACAATTGCGGGACAGAGAACCCGCGGACTCGAATGCTGCACAAATGAGGAAACAGCAGAGAGACCGGGATCGGACGAGACAGACAGGGAGCTCAAAGACTCAATACCCGATGCTCGACGCATGCAACAGCATCTCCATCCCACGAATAACTCCACGGCAGACCACAGCGAGGCGATGACAAAAGAGAAAAGTTGCAGCCGCGAAGCTTACCCATGATTCCGACGGAGTAATTTCGGTACTGGACGCAAGGGGCTTTGAACAGCTACGACTTGCTTGAGCTGCTCACAGCCAGTCAGTCGATCGGTAAAATACTTGTGATCTCGGTAGATACCGATTGCGATTCCTTGCAAGAAACAATATACCGGTAAGTTACCAAGACTTTTATTTTGACCAATAAAAGGAGTCTATCTCTTCTACCTCGATCATTTTGCGCAATAAAGTGTCGTAATGCCTCAAGAGGACTTCTCCGTGGAGCTCCTGCAGCTATACTATGGTATATTTAGAGCTTTTATCTACTTCATCATCTCCATCACTCTCTTACGCGTCGAATGGTACCATAAACATGATCTAAACATGTCTCTAACGCTCAAAATTCTCTGTAGATCGACTCTTCCCATACAAACAAATGGTTCAATGGCTACGTTACGACAAAGGTACGTCTTTCTTTCCCTCTACTTGCACACTATGCAAATGTAACAAAGGGATATGATTGTCTCTATATAGGAGAGGAATTTCTCTTTCGACGTGAGCTTTCATACACACTTGAGAACGACACGTACATTCGTTACAAGGCTTTCCACAATGCCGAGGAGCTCAAGACAAGCATGAGCAAGACTTTACCTTTTAAAATCGATATCGGTGCTGTCTTCTCCGTGTCACCTGCTGACAAGGGAAAGGTTAGCGCCGACCATTTTTCTCCTGAACAGCGTGAGCTCGTGTTTGATATTGATCTGACGGATTATGACGATATTCGAACGTGCTGTGAGGGTGCCGCTATCTGCAATCGATGCTGGCAACTTATGGTCGCTGCAGTAAAAGTGCTGAATACAGCATTGAAGGATGATTTTGGCTTTGAACACTTGCTCTGGGTCTACTCAGGACGTCGTGGTATCCATTGCTGGGTCGCAGACGAACGAGCACGAGAGCTCGAGAACGAGGCACGTTCTGCAGTGGTGGGGTATCTGTCACTTGTAGAAGGCAATGAGAACTCTGCTCGTAAAGTCAAGCTACGTGAACCGCTGCATCCGTCGCTCGAGTGAGTAGCTTTGTAGTTCCTTGATGGGGACGGTTGACACTGACATGTTTTGCATGTGGCTTATAGCCGGGCTTACCGCCTACTGGAGCCAATGTTTGAGGATATGATTTTGGCGGACACGGGGCAGGGAATCATGTGTTTGGAGAAACATTGGGTCAAGTTGCTGGCAATGGTGCCTGACGAAGATATTCGAGCTAACATGACGCGTCGATGGGGCGCCACAAATTGTTGTTCTAGTCCAAGTGAGAAGTGGCTTGAGCTCAGGGAGGTGGTGGAGAAACAGGTGCAGAAGAATGTCAACGCCGCGCGTAGTGGTAGCAACCTTAAGCGGCCTGCGCCGAACAGTGACGTCAACAAGCGCTTCGCAGCGGCCGAGCTGCGCACATGTCTACAGGAGATTGTACTGGCATACCTATACCCAAGACTAGATGCTAACGTGTCTAAGCAACGAAATCACTTGTTGAAGAGTCCGTTCGCTGTGCATCCCAAGACGGGTCGTGTATGTGTACCCATCGATGTGGCCTCTATGGAGACATTCGACCCGTTCAAGGTGCCCACCCTGGGCCAGCTACACGAGGAACTTGATTCGGGCAAATCCACCACGAGCATGAACAAGTACGTGGACTTCTTTGAGTCTTCGTTCTTGAAGCCGTTGGCGGTGGCGGCTAAGCGGAAAGAGCGCGACGCTCGTGAGAGTGACGCTGCAATGACTGGTGACTGGTAGAAGAAGCAGTACCCAAAGATGGGTGATAGAAGGCACCTCTACCTAGCGGGTAAATATATTGTAAAGCCTTTACGACGTAACTTTCTAGACCTGGTGGAAGTGCAACAGTCAATGTTAATCTTGACATGTCATATCTGTCAATGCCGAACCAGTACATGTGTAGCATCTTGCACTCAGCCACCAGCAGTTGGCGAATCGTGAGATCGAATGGTGGCATCTGACTCGGTTAGCTGGATTCTCGTGCCGCTCTTGCAGCTTTAAAGCGAGACACTCTCTTCACGGGTTGCTGCAAATGAAAGAAAGATATCACATAACGGGTGACTGTCAAGAAGAATGACTCAATCGCAAGAAAGTCATGCGATGTGAACGTACTGCTTCGCCCACTGGTTCTAAGGTCACTTTTTGGCCTGTGTAGTTAGTGCCATTGAAACGGGAGTACCGGGGCTCTGGGGTCGTCACGGGTGTAGTAGACACAGGCGTTGGCATCTTCTCCTTAATCTCGCGCTCCTTAACACTGCCAGAAAATGCTGTCGGTGCCGAGGTGAATGAAGATGAGGATGCTGCTGATGCCGATAGCGCCAGTGGCGGCGAAGACGCTGATACAGGCTCCGCGATCGATACGTCTGGCTTAAATTTCGGTTTTGAAGCAACACTCTCGTGCTCACTGCCACTCGCCTTGGCGTTCGCCTTGTTGCGCATTTGCTTTGCCTTCTCTTTTAGTTTGTCATCGGTGGGACACAACTCGATGGCCCGCTCGTATGCTTCAGCAGCTTCCTCAAACTTCTCCAACGCTGCTAGAGCGCAAGCTTTACGGTAATGTCCTTTGACCCATGGCTCATGCAGTGAGATGGCGACGTCGGAATCTTCAAGTGCCAGTTGATAATTCTTCAAGCGATGGTATGCCGCAGCACGGTTGCCATACAGAATCTACAGATATAGCACACAAAGTACACGACAAGTAAAAGACGTCAGTCAGTACGCAAACACAAAGTGCATTGAGGTATCTCGACTCATACGCACATAAGAGGTCGGGTCCAGCTCAATTGCCTGCGTATAATACTGAGCTGCAGCCTGGAAACGTCGTCGAGCAAATGCGTCATTGCCCTTGGCCTTCAGCATCGCAGCCTGTGCTTCTTCCGGATCGTCCTCTTTCTTTACAACCTCCTCACCATTCAAACTGTCTCCAACAGCCTCTTGCGCTTCGAGACTTTCCATTCGCTTCATCATATCGTCCCAATTCCACGACGCCTGTTCTTGCTTCAGTCGCTCCTCTTCCTCTACCTCAAAGAACTCTTTAATATCTACAAACAAGAGCACAAGAAACCAATCATCCCTCCATGTCCAAGTACCAAGTACAGTACATCACAGGCCGTACCTTCTTCCGTAGCACGTGGCACTCTTTCCAATTCGCTCTCCTCTTCCGTCTCTTGAATCTCACGAATGTTTTCATCCTCGTACATCTTTTGCAGTTGTGCAACGCTGCCCACTTCTGTTTTCTTGGAAATGAACTCACACAAAGTCTCCTCCTGTGTCTCAATTTGTTTGTATAAACCTGCACCAAGTAAGTCATCAATTACCTCCACGTAAGTCATCAATTACCTCCACGTAAGAACTCTATCAACAGCAGAATCACCTTTTTTCTTGCGCTCAATAATCTCAACAGCTTCATGTGTCGAGCGCCATGCAAAATATTCATCACCCAAATGCGCGAGCACTTCGTTCGAGCGCACAATTTGACCCGGAACCATCATCCGTTTACCCAATGGCACCATTATTTTATGCTGGAGCTTCTTTGGTAGTTCCATGAGCGTCTCAGCTACTGTATTATAGCGATCTTCTTGATCTTGGAGCTTTGTTAACTGATTACGGATCGTGTCGATATGCTACAAGAATAAAAAACATATGAGAAGAAAGCTCATGATGTGAGGATGATTGACTGTAGTCATACATGCACGTACTTCTTGCAACAATCGCGTATTCGCTGCCTCCGCGACCATTCCCAGCGCCGCCATCGAGCGATGTTATATACTCTTGACCAGCTACTTTAATTCTTACTTCACAATAAAGTCACTCTATTTTAGCGTGCTCTATTGTATTGCACGATAGAATGGGTTTTATATCACGACGTACTGGGTTTTATCCCAGGACTGAGTTTCGTCTAAGTACGAAGATTTCTCTCCCCCCGGTTCCTCCCATTTCCAAATCATAATGACGACAGGTGAGTGTCAAACAAGTAACAAGAAGCACGATTATGACAAGGAAGACGAGGATTTTTTAGCTGGACCAGAGACAGTCCTGGATGAAGGGGACATTGCACTTTTAAAAACGTATGGATTAGGTCCGTATTCCCGTGTCATTAAACAAGTCGAAGAGGACATTAAAAAAGCCCAAAAAGTCGTGAATGATCTCATTGGAATCAAAGAAAGTGATACGGGCTTAAGTTTACCAAGTCAATGGGATCTTGTCAGTGATAAACAAATGATGCAAGAAGAACAACCGCTTCAAGTCGCTCGTTGTACGAAAATCATTCATGCCGGTGAAGACGAAGCCAAATACATGATAAATGTGAAACAAATTGCGAAATTTGTGGTGGGATTGGGGGAAAAAGTGGCACCCACGGATATTGAAGAAGGGATGCGTGTGGGTGTGGACCGCACGAAATACGCGATTCAAATTCCATTGCCCCCGAAAATCGACCCAACGGTTTCACTCATGACGGTCGAAGATAAACCAGATGTGACTTATGATGACGTTGGAGGGGCCAAAGAAGCATTGGAAAAGCTTCGAGAAGTTGTCGAGTTGCCACTTTTGCATCCGGAACGATTTGTTAATTTAGGAATTGATCCACCGAAAGGCGTGTTGCTTTATGGACCACCGGGAACAGGAAAAACCTTGTCGGCACGTGCAGTAGCGAATCGAACGGATGCTTGTTTTATTCGAGTCATTGGTAGTGAATTGGTGCAGAAATATGTTGGAGAAGGAGCACGAATGGTGCGTGAACTCTTTACAATGGCACGATCCAAGAAGGCGTGCATTGTGTTTTTTGATGAGGTCGATGCTATTGGAGGAGCACGAAGTAGCTCCGAGGAAGGAGGGACTGACAATGAAGTGCAGCGTACAATGCTGCAGATTGTCACGGAATTGGATGGATTCGATCCACGAGGAAATATCAAGGTGCTCATGGCGACGAATCGACCGGATACACTGGACCCGGCACTCATGCGTCCAGGTCGATTGGACCGAAAGGTGGAGTTTAACTTGCCAGAACTCGATGGCCGTACTCAGATCCTCAAGATTCATGCCAAGAGCATGAACTGTGATCGAGGCATTCGTTTTGAGCTTGTGAGTCGACTGTGTCCCAATACGACAGGTGCAGAGCTTCGTAGCGTGTGTACGGAAGCGGGAATGTACGCGATTCGTGCACGCCGCAAATCCGTGAGCGAGAAAGACTTTCTCGAGTCGGTCAACAAGGTCATCAAAGGCTACAAGAAGTTTTCATCGACGCCCAAGTACATGGTATACAACTAAGTAAGACCACTTTGAAGACATGGAAGAGCGTACAAAGAGACTTTTTAAGAAATGAATACACTCGAGATGGAAAAGAGTCTGTTATCCGTAAGTAGTATACCGCTTGTATACCTGTTGTATACACGCCGTCGTTTTAAGCCAGTCTATTTCGAGTCGCAACATGACATCGCCGCCATCTCTCGTGCAGCCTCCACCTGCAAAGCTCAAGACACGCTCTGATTTTTCTGTAACACTTGTAGTAGCACCATCGAGTATTTCTTCCTCTTGGTATCGCTATGAATACAAAGAAGCAGGTTCGACATGGGACAAGAACGCACAGCACGTGGACGCGATGGAAGGGGCATCGGAAGTGGTTTTAGATGATCTTAATCCCACTAGCACGTATGAAGTCCGCGTATACGAAGTTGTCAAGGATCCAGATGGGAAAGAACATGTGTCAGAGCCCAGTCAAGTTGCTGCTGTGGATACTGAAGTACCAGGCTGTGGACCGGATGGAAACTCGGGCTGTTTGTGCACAATCCAGTGAGCTGAAACGGGACGAGCAACGAGATGAAAAGACGCACGCACGCACACACACGAGACACAGACCTTCATAACACTATTGCCCCACAAAAGCGTTAATATTCACACACGCACAGACCTCCTTTACTTACAGCATCCTTCCAAGTGCTTTTTTGTAGTCCATATCTGTATGCCTGCAAGTGGTGGGCTTTGTCCTGCGTGTAACCAGGTTTTCCTCTCTCTGTACCTGGTCTGGAGACAATGAGCTTGGAACTCATTGGAGCAGCTTCTTCCACTTTGCTAGTCGCTCGTCCTGGGATGACAGTTGCGTCCAGAATGCATCCACGTCCGATTGCGTTTTCCACCACGCCACTAACGCTTCTGGGCCGAATTGCAATTCGAACGTGACCAGTAGAGCATATAGTATATCTTCTGCACGACCTCTTTCTACTAGATGAGAGCAAGCGTCACTCAACCAGTGCACTGATAGGGCTTGCTTTGCAAACAATGGTGTCCAAAGTTCACTCAAGTTGACAGCAAGCTGCGGAATATCGACGCGCAGATCTTCATAAGCGTCGAGAATGATCTCAACGGCGGCCTCGATATCTTCCGATGTGATTTTCTCGCCAACAAATAGCTCTACCAGCAATTCAGCAACGTCCTTGCGTATGGACTGACTTGCCTCGAGACTGAACGCTAGAGTAATGTGTACAAAATGCAGCCAGCGATCAGAAATGGCGTCAAACTCTTCAATGCACTGCACCACCTCACTAAAGTCCTTGACAGATAAGTACTCTTCCAGCGTGCTTCGCATTTTCCCCGCAATCTCTGGATCGAGCTCACTTTCTTCATCGCTATCACCACCACCAAAGAAATCCTCGATGCCATATTCACGAAGATATGCTATCACATCAGCCTTATTGGCCCTCATTGCTGCAGGCAAAATGCTCTCTGGCATGACTTCCTCATCAGTAAGCATTCGTATCACTGTCCTCTCGTCGCTCTCCATTTCCAGGACAGATAATACCTCGGGGAACACCAGTGAGGTAAGCTTGCACTCCACACAATGGGCCAGAGCTTCAGAAAGAATCCACGAAAGCCCAAAGCATCCCACAGCGACTAATCGACCAAAGATCAATGCCGAGTACTGGTGAATGAGTGGTAAATCAATCTTCATATCTTCCAGAAATTCCATAACGTTCACCAGAGCAGTTTGAATAGAATTCGCGTCCAGCGCACCACGTTCATACAACCTCACAAGCAATTCCACGGCATGCTCGCGCTCAGTGGTTTTACCTTCCAACGCAGTGCTGATCGCTTGCTCTACAAGTTCGATGTGGTACGGACCGTCGGGCAACTCCTGAACGCACGTAGTAGCTTCATCTAAATCCACGATGGAGACGTATTCCTGGATGATACTCTTAACGCGGGTTGACATTTGTGCAGGGGACAGCTCTTTCACTTCGGGCTCCTCAGGTTTCTCTGGATCCACTTTTCTAGCCACAATGAGATTGCTGCTCTGCTTTGCAAGCTGAGCACTAGACACACGTGTCTTATGGCGGCGCCGTTGCACGTCGTCGTGCTGAGCATTCTTTCCCTGCTGCTGAAGCTTTTGCGCCTCCTTTCGAACTTCCTCTAGCGTCTTTTGTTGCAACTCTTTGCGACGTGGTTCCCACATGTGGTCTCTTGTTTCTAGAATATCCTTGATCAAGAACCGAGCTCGCGATGGCAATTTCGAGTCGTCCGACAGCTCTACCATGCGCAATATGATGATTTTCATTATTGTCTTCGTTTTCGGCTGATCAAACTTTTTGCCAGCTGTAGCCAGCATTTTGCAAAGTGCCTCCAAGTCTGCTTCATCAGGAAAACGAACCGCCTGAGCTTGACCTTCTTGGCCATCCAATCCAGGCATCAACTCTAATCCAAGCAAGTAAAAGATGCATCCTTGGACTCCAGACTGCTTGATCAGATCCACCTTGTACAGCTCACCAATGAATCGAATGTTACCAAGCATCTTTGCCTTTGCGCGCATCGCAAGAATTTCACGCCGTCGAGGGTCGACATCTTCTTCCTCATTCTTTTCTTGCTGAGAGCCAACGTGCTTATTGATCATCTCAAATTCGCCTTGACAACGGTTAACCAGTAGTCGTACAAAAGTAGTCTGGGATGCAGCCGCGTGGCGTGCTAGCTCAGCTGACACGAACGGACCCCCAAATGGTTCATCGTCCCCAATCTCGTTGATCTTTCGTCTTGCGTAGTAAAATACTCCAGTCTCTCGTTCGCCTACTGCAACCAAGTAGTCACCGTGGTGACGGAATTGCACAGAGGGAATGGATGCATAGTCACATGTAGAAGTAGCTGCACTTACGGGTGCCCCAATATTATCAAGGCAGCTACGTGGGCTGTCAAACGGGCCAACAAACGACGTGAATGTCGCCTTGTCGATCGCAGTCCAAAAAAACGAGCCCTTTTCATCACTTAACACGCTCAGAAAGCTCCAAGTTTTCTTTATCGTCCGCGTATGAATTTCCTTGCACAGGTCAGAGTACACGTCCGCGAAAGTGGGCTCCTCCAACGCTTTATCCATTATAGTTGCAACAATTGAGCTCAGCAGGACAAAGCTGTCGATCTCCACTGCGCAAAACTCATCTGTCAGCTTCGCAAACTTCTCCCTCGTGAGCTTGTTTAGAAGACTCTTTATGTAGTTCAACGTTTTTTCGAGGGTGGAAGTCTCTTTCTCCTTCGTGGGCTTCCAGCGGTTCGCGGACACTGTAAGGGGCTCGATGGGACCATCGTAAAGCGGGGGTGGAGGCGGTCGGCCGTAGTCGCCACGACCACCTCCTCCTCCACGACCCCCACGGCCACCGCCGCGGCCGCCACGGCCATTCCTGTCACGTCTACCATCTCTCAGACTACTTTGGTTCTTCGCACCACGCCCACCCCGTACGTCAGAGCGATCCCTTTTTCGAATACTGCCTCCAATAGATTTTCCAATGCCGTAGCCCGCTGCAAGTCGCCCAGAAGACCGTTTGATGACGGAGCGCGGGTCGCGCATTTGATTGACTTCCACAATTTTCATTTCGGGGAGATCTGCTGGCTTCGGTATTGCAAATGTCATTAGTCTGTCGGCAAAACAAGGTATGCCACAGCAGTGATTCGTTAGCTATGATGCTCAAGTACCCAACAGACATAACAACAAAATGGTCGCCACAGGGGCCTACCTTCTTAGCTCTGCAAGCGAATATTGCAATTTCTTGGCACGTGACATAGTCGTTCGAGATGGCGCAATAGCTTGTGCTAGCGATAACTTTGGCATTCGGACTCGTCTCGTGTCTGTCGAATCTGCCAAACAAGACCTTATCGTTCTAGGCGGTGCGGCATCATTAGATCCTCCGATCGATGCCTGTGACTTGAGTAGACTAGACTCAATTGATGACCCCAATGAGGACTTAAATGGAGCTGCACGTCGCGAGGCTTCCCGTTCTGCGTTCTCCTTGTTGAGCTTAGCATAATACTCGCGGGTTCTCACATCCTTTTCAGTATCATTACCATTTGACGCTCCTTCATTTTCATTCCTTTCGCCAGCTAGAATTCGCCGCCCTTCCTTCTCCATAGAGCCCTTATGGCATAATGGCGCCTCCATCATTTGAGCCAGACTGCTACCGCGTTCTAGCTTTCGCGATTCCATGCGCTCTTGCAAAATGGTGGCAAGACGTTTGCGTTCCACTTCGTCGACAACTGGAGCGTCAGGTTGCTTCACACACGTATCTGGAGCAGCAGCGGACTTCTGTGACGTTGGCGGAATGAGTTCTCTGACAGGATCACTTCTTTTCACCCCACCGGGTGCGGATGGAAATCGCTGTATATCTAAAGGCTGTACACCCTGAGAGTTTCCTTTACCCGTTAAAAAGCCAACCGGAAACTTCGAATTTACTCTGCGCAAAGAAGAAGCTCCGCCATCCAGAGATGATCGCCGCGACGCCACATTTTGCGGCGGCCTGCCAAACGGACGTCCTATTGTCCCGGATGATGGACCTTCTTTTCGAAAACGAACATCTTGTGAACTCGTCGTAGCGGAGATGGAACCCAATAGAGAAGACTTAAGCGACGCTTGTCCAGGGGATCCACTAGCATGTCGACGAAGAGATTGCGGTCCATCATCAAAAGTCGAACGGTATTCTTCATTGTATCGTTCACTGCGATGACTTCTGTCACTGCGATCTGAACGCTGCGACGACACGCTATCGTTGCTGTTTTTCCTGACCAGCCTGGTTCTCGACACCGATCGGTTGCGCAAATCTTTTCCTTCTTTCGGTTCTCGACTGTTGGAACTTTTTCGTCGCTCCCGACTATTGGATCGACGCAATGACGAGCCCTGCGTTCTTTTTCCCGTCTCCTCTTTTCTTACTCCTTGATCACCTTCTTTTTTATCCATGGATTGTGTCAAACTGCTGACAAACTTTTTCGTCTCTTCTGTCCCTTTCTGAGGTGATAAAGAGGACAACGAAATGACTCGTCGTGTTCCTTTCGTCCGCACCTGAGCGTCTTTGTTCTGCGACATTGAAACACTTGGAAGCCGATCCTTCCTGCTCTCTCCATTAGCATGTGACTTGTCCTTCTCGATACAAACCGAGCGTTCATTCCTTTTCTTCAGTGGAGTTGAGATTGAATTCTTGAGTGAAGATTGCAATGACGATTGAAATGTACTTGTCTCTTCAGTATTGGAATCATCATCCACCACTTGCACCAAACGACTGCTTAATTTTGTATCTGCATCTGCAGGTTTTACACGTCGATACACCACTTTACCACCATTTTTGCTTCGTCCATTACGACCACCACCTGCTAAAAATAATAAATTACACGATGATTTAGTTATAAAATTCAAGAGTTTAGCATATTTTAAGAGTTTTACGAGCTCAATCCCTCTAATTTCGTTCATTAGTTGTAAAATTCTGGATTGTACCTCTACGATTCCCATCGGCACTCGCATGTCCATCCATGAAAGACCTACAATCGACTTCTCGGCTCTTCTAGAAGCTGTAATTCGTCTTGATCTTTTCTCGTCTTCTCCCTACAATTATTGTAAATACGGACAATATATTGATTAGCCTCCATAATTGATCGGACCAAATACTTTCAACCAATAAGATCACGTTATTCGTAAAATCCTTTTTTAACCAATACCTGTCGATCAGTAGCAATAACCAGCCATTCCTTGGATGCACCTTGGCTGGACGTTACGACGTCGATCGCTCTCCATCTCTCCCGTCATCATGTCGTCACCTTTGGCTGCATCTTTAGCTACCAAGTTGCAGGAGAAATCAGCACCCATTGGTCATAAAATTATCCGCGAAGGAAATGGCGTTATGATCTTTCCAGAACAGAATCAAGTTTTCTACAATCCCGTCCAAGTATTGAATCGTGACTTGAGTATCGCAATGATCTCGGAATTCGCTCGTTGTCGAGCACGGGAGCAATTGACAAAAGAGGCACGTAAAGCATTCCATGCAACAGGTGGTGACACGAAATTTGAGCCCAAAATCTTCACGGACGAAGAGATTGACAAGCATTTAGTTGATACAGCAGAGACGAATGGGATTCGTATCTTTGAAGCATTAGCAGCCTCAGGACTTCGCTCGATCCGGTACTTTCAGCAAATTCCTGGAGTCAAATCGATTCTGGTGAATGATATGGATCCAGCCGCAGTCGAGACTATTAAACGCAACGTTGCGTTCAATGAATTGCCATTGGATCGGGTCATTCCTAATGAAGCAGATGCAACGGACGTCATGTACAACCATCGACAACATACGGATCAATTTGACGTTATTGACTTGGATCCGTACGGATCTGCTTCCATTTTCTTAGACGGTGCAGTACAGAGTGTTACCAATGGTGGACTACTATGTGTGACATGCACGGACATGCCTGTACTATCGGGTAAACAGCCTGAGGTGTGTTTCTCCCGCTACGGAGCACTACCGAACAAGTCTCACTATCTGCACGAAATGGCGCTGCGCATGGTGCTGCACACGATCGAGTCGTCGGCGAACCGCTACGCACGTCATATTGTGCCGATCGCGTCATGTAGCATTGACTTTTATGTACGTGTCTTTGTCCGCGTCTACAAGTCGCCAGCAAATGTGAAGAAAGCGATGACGAAACTGTCGCACGTCTTTCAGTGCGTCCAGTGCGAGAGTTTCCACCTGCAGCCTCTCGGTGTATCGAGCGGAAACAGCTACCATGCCTCGCGCGGACCAGTTGTGGGGCAGCAGTGTGATCAATGCCAGGGTAAGTACAAGATGGCCGGACCGATCTGGTCGGCGCCGCTACACAGCCGTGATATCGTGCTAAAGATTCGCGACCGTGTGGAAAAGAGTACATTGGAATTCCCTACAAAGCCTCGTCTGCACGGATTGTTGACTACACTGTCCGAGGAGCTCATCGATGCTCCGTTGTACTACACTCTTCCGGGTCTGAGCAAAGTTCTGCACTGCACGAACCCACGCATGTCACAGATCCAAGGTGCCATTCGCCACGCTGGCTACGAAGTCTCGCAATTCCATAAAGTACCTGACGCTATCAAGACCACTGCACCAAACGACGTTCTTTGGGACATTATGCGATGCTGGGTAAAGAAGTACCCACTGAACAAGAAACGCAAGGATCAGGAAACTCCAGGCAGCCGAATTTTAGCAAAGGAGCCCAAATTTGATGCCAATTTTTCATCAAAACGTCCTGGACCGAATGAGAAACCCAAGGCGCTGCGATATCCTCTAAACCCGGAGCCAAATTGGGGTCCAAAGGCGCGTGCTGTGGGGTACAAGGCTGACATTGTAACCCCTGTGGGTACGAGTAATGAAGGTGAGTAGAGAAGGTAGAAATACGTCTGATTCATTGGATCGTTAAGGCTGATTCTGATGGTATTTTGTTTTTTATTTGCTCCAGATCAGATTCATGAACCGGATACGAAGAAGAAGGCGAAAATGGAATAAATGGATGCAAATATACGACAATATAAAATGCCTCTTTTTTCATTTATTTTGGTTGTTGTTTATTTTTACTACTTCTTTTTTACGCCACACGACAAAAAAAGAAGACTCGTAAATTGAAAGATAGAACAGTTTTAAGGGGGTCAAGAATATTATTGATTGTGTGTCGTCTCAGTGAATCCTGTCAGATCTAATATACGTGACGGCTATCACTATAAAGTGTTTGCTAATAATGTTTTCTTCTATGGTTATTATGTATTACAGGCTATCAGATTTCACATATGCTCTTTTTAAATAATACTAAGCTTTTACTAGCCCACCCCTACCCCTTCCCACCTTTTTCTTCTTTCTTTACTTAAAGCAGAACTATCGGATTTATTCTCCCCTTCTTTCTCTCTTCAAGTACTTGAACGTGTCCAGCCTATCAGCCTCCAAGTGAGTGGAATACTACCAAGAAACTTTTAGGAACCTGCGTGACGTTTCGGCGCTCGTCTACTTCCTCTTGTGGCCTTCAAACACATCACATTTACAAATGGAGCAATCATTTACGGACAGTAGTACCGTAGTGGTCATTAATGATGGCCCACCTGCTCTGGTCGAGATGACAAGTCGAGGCTATGGAGATGGAGACAGTTCGAGTCCAATGGGTCATCGAAATCGCAGTGTCAGTATGAGTCTGCACTCGAATGCACCTCCAAGCAAGAAACAGCGGGCTTCCGACGATAAATACGAGAAAATACCACCCCCTTCCGTCCACCCTGGACGTTTCTTAGCGCCCGTCTCTTCTACGGATGCTCTGGAGACCGTTACTACAGGTATCGAAGCTCGAGATCAAGTGAGTGATGAGACGGATGTTCCAGATTATGAAGAAGATGAAGATAGAGACTTTGGAGGCACTGCTGTATCGATTTCTAGACCGTCATTTAGACGTGATGGAGACTCGTCAGATGATGAAAATGATGTGAATGAAGAAGACTTTATACATTGGCTCGTTGAGCAAAAAATGGCTGGTATACCGGCGATTCAAATGCTGGATGTTTTGGGATTGGGAGTATCAGAAGGTGTTGCAGTAGATGATGATGAATTATGGGAAGCTATGCTTTCAATGGGCATTCGACTTGTAAAACCGACAGTGACGGTACGTTGTACAGCTGTTGTGTTGATGTTTACGACGAGTTGGGTCTCACCTGTTGCAAAAATTGCGACATTTGTTTGTGTGATTGCAGCGGCCACGTGAAAAGTTGGACACGGTCAATACATTGCAGGATGTGGCAATGCTGCTGCGGTCGAGCAAGAAGATTGTAGTGCTGGCGGGTGCTGGCATCTCTGTGTCATGTGGCATCCCGGATTTCCGGTCAGAGAATGGCATTTATAGTGTACGTGACTATAGTTACTACTCCTCATGGTGACTCTGACTTGGTGACTTGTGACCATTATGTTCGTACAGCGCCTTGGCGAGTACAACCTGCCAAATCCACAGTGCATGTTTGGTACTAGCTTGTCGTCTAATTTGGTAGATTATGTTTGATTCGACTAACGCGGTTATTTGTTGCATTGTGCAGACATTGAGTTTTTTCGATCGAACCCACGGCCATTCTTCGCTTTTGCGAAGGAACTGTTTCCTAAATGTAGCGGCTTTACGTTTGTACCATCTCGGAGTCACTACTTTTTGAAGCTGCTTGAAGAAAAGGGAAAGCTACTTCGGATTTACAGTCAGGTGAGTGACGGGTTTGCCTGTGCACCAGAAGCCTGTATGAAAAAGGACTGACTGTGGATATTTTTGCTATTATCAGAACATTGATATGTTAGAGCACGCAGCAGGCATTTCGCACGAACACTCTGTGCTATGCCACGGTTCTTTCGCCACAGCAACATGTTTAGCATGCAAACAGATGTATCCAAACGACGCTATTCGCGAGGATGTGCTAAATCAGCAAGTGCCGATGTGCAAGTCGTGTAGGTCACCGGATGGAATCGTCAAGCCTGACATTGTATTTTTTGGTGAATCGTTACCGCGACGCTTTCACGACTCCATTAAGAGTGACGAAGGCGAGGCAGATCTTGTGCTTGTTATGGGATCGTCACTCAAGGTGAACCCTGTACGCAGTATTGTTGGTCGCTTCAAAAAGACTACGCCCATGATCTTGATCAATAGAGAACCAGTGGGACGTCCACACAAGTTTGACGTAGAGCTACTAGGATATTCCGATGAGATTGTGCAGGAGCTATGTCGACTGCTTGAATGGGATATTCCACAGCCTGACCCGGTGCTTCTGGGCCAGTCTAACCTTCCACTGCCGCCCGTGGTACCTTTGAGTACTCTTGTACCCCTGTCGTTCGAGTTTGTTATTCCGTCACGGCATTTGTTCAACGGTTCGAAGTCAACATATTGCAGTTCAAGTGACGATGATAGTAGCAGCTCGTCTAGCGAAAACCGGACAGGTGGAGAGGGTGATACAGATTTTGGTACAGCTGATGTGGAAGGCGTGGACGATGAGACATTCTCGCCACTTAACGGCGACTTAGCAAAGGAGGATCAAGACGAGTTGATGGGAAGTGGCAACGAGTTGCTAGGGTCTACAAGCTTTGATGACAATTGATCGCTCGAATGCTACTCGCACTCCTTTACGGAAGACGCAAGCTAGTTCGCTACCCCGTGCCGTCAGCAAACTCATTGGGCCACACATGCCTCCCGTCATGTACAACTATTTCTCACTGAGCCGGCTTTTTCTCATTGTGCTGCTCAGTTTCTGGCTGAAAATATCTGTCAATATGACATTATCTTCTGAATCGACAAAACTGAGCTAAACATGGCCACTCTCGGGTCATTGACATGCTCAAACCTGGTTGTAAGTACTAGTTTATATATACTGCTTCTTGCATTGCTTCATTTATTTGAAAACGACCGTGTTCCGTACCAACATATTGCTTTTGCTTTCAAATGTGCTCAGGTCGTAAGGGATATGTATCTCCGTGTGCTTAGGTTTGGGCTTGGACGAGCACAGGGCGAACCATTTGACCGTGCGGTGATCGAAGCATTGCTAGAACATAATAACCTTGCTTACGGTATCGCTGACCTGCGTTTGCTATATAGAGTTGCTGAAGTGGCTCGCAGGCGATAAAGCCAACGGCACGGAAAGCGCCTTTGGGTCGATCGTAGATTGAGGAAGTCACGTAGCCGATAAGAGATCGCTAACACATACAGAGGCACCACTCAATCGTTAGTCCATATGCTTTCCAAAAGCAAGGTTGAACGAGATAACTTCTACCTCATCGGTATTGGAGCTCTTGACACTGTTCTTCTTTGGCAAACAAACGTCAACACCCTTCCAATCTTTGTTATTGTTGAACTGTTCCACGTCTCCAGCTGAGGGCACCAAGAGCTGATCACACGATAGAAGCAACCACAAAGCATCGCTATGTCAGTCCCAGTAAAACATGAAACGTGCTACCTGCTCCACGTACCATAGCGTTGACATCAATATGGCCACGTCTCGGGACAACAATAACAACACGAACAAGAGTTGGAATCGTTACAGGCACGACAGACTCGACACCACATGTTGGCATTGATGTCATTTCGCCGGGTCCGGTGGCAGTACTACTTGATCGGTGAAAGCAAAAGGGTTCCGTGTACTTCCCTCCGCGTAGAACACAAAGCGACTGTGTCTCCTCGTCTTCTGCATCACCTTCATGCTTCTGCAGATTAAAGAGTAGCTCCCATCGTGGTCGGAAGGGCGACTTCACGCCGTGTTTCTCAAAATTGTAGCGCACCGCCTTGGGCTTTTTTGCCTGTTCAGTGCCTAAGTCGCGTGCACGGGAGTCCCAATAGACATGCCCAGCTTTAGTATCCGGGTAATCACACGGAAAGCTATTCACATCAACGTCAGATACTAGCCGCATCTTCCTCTATACAGTAATCATACCTGGGCTGGTGCAACACCGTACACAAAGCGGCGTCTTCCTCGAGTCCTACGACCAGGGCACCACCAAAAACCAACGACTTCAGCAATCCCACCACACTAGATGGAGGACAAACGATGTCCCAACCGCTCGTGTGAGGGTACGGCTCACGCTTTTTGATAATCAGGAGATGAAGCGCCTGGGACTTCGCACGCACTTCGTATGAGGTACTGCCAAGCACACTCTCCTTTCGCTGACGGTATATCTCTTCGTTCAGCTTGTGATCTTTCTTATAATTGCTTTCAATTTTAAGCCTCTTGGACAATGACCACAGCAGCGAGTTCGGTATTGGTTCCACATTCATATCAATGTCGTCTTTAGCCACGTCAAACTTTGTTCGCTCTCCATCTCCAACCGAGTTTGGAAAGTTTAAACTGCCAGATTCGTCAGCTACCACTGCATTTGAGGTACTGGTCGTCCAGGCCAGCAATGTCTGTATTTCCTTGAGAATCTCTTTAGACTCGGGCTCCTCCGCGTCTTTGCCAAGTGACGAGAGACTAAGCCCCGACAACGGACTTTCAATTAGATCCGTGCCAAGTTTCGGAACCGCCTCAGCGGATGGTTCTTTCAGCAGTGAAAAGCTTGTCGCGCGGTCGGTAGAATGATAGAAGTTACCATGTTTCCAACGTGTCATGCGTGGGTCTTTCACCGCAATGGCATAAATGCTGTCTTTTTCCTTCTCAATCTGTGTCTTCTTTTCTGTCTCGCGAAGAATATACAACCGATTGCCATTGCAGCAATTGATTCTCGTTTGCTTCTCATCAAAACTATCTTCATGATCCGACGTGTCTTCTTCCTGATTATCCTGCTCTTCCTCACCACTACCTTCATCTCCATCACCACTGGCAATGCTCGTGACGAGCTCATCAGCAAGTCGCCCCCGCAGTTTCAATCGACATAATTGTCCTCGTCGATCAAGCATCTCAATGCTTTCTTCATCATCATGTCCCACATCCAGACACGCCGTTGCAATTGCCGTTGCCGCTTCCATGTACGCTGCAGGGTGTACCCAGAGCCACAATTGTCTTTTCGTGTTCTGCCAGTCTTTGTGCAATGTAAACTGTCCACCTTCATAGTCCTGTCTCAATGGTCTCCACATAAAAGTCACGGGTGCAATTGCACCTTGTGGGAATTGGCCCTTATGATACAACATACTGCGTCCTTCCTCAGCTCCAGCCAAGAAGCGCCGACCATGAAAATCTGATCCCTCCGGGTCTGAAATGAGCTGTAGAGCTTCTAAAATCACTTGTGGCAGTCCATAGAGCTCAATAATTCCATAATAACTGGCATCATGTAGTGTTGCCTTGGTCCGTAGAGCTTCCAAGGCAGCAGAGATACTTTTATCTGCTCGATGGGATGCTAAAATGTAGCCATATTGGTCTGTCATAATCATACGTTTTGTATGCCATACATGCGATGAAAGCCACAGCGACCGCTCGAAATTTGCAACAGATGGAGTTGCTCGATCTTGCAGCAACTTATGAGGGCGACGGTTGTGTTTTCGGCAACGTAACGAATTTTTAACAGCTTTGGGTAAAATTCGAAGTCGCTGGGGTATTTTATGCGACTTGAAGGCATTGGCTCGACGACGTCGCTGATTCTTTTGTGTTTCGAGCTTCGCATCAATGCAAGTGGATATCTGTTTATGTTGCGAGAGTTCATGCAATGCCTGTAGCTCCGGCGCGCGAGCGTTGGCGAATTCGAGCACTGGCAGCACACACGGACCAAGGCCAGCCATTTTTTTTTTGAAAAATAGGAATTTGTAGACGCCCAAATTAACATAATTTTGGGCAAGTGTTGAAGTTGTTTGAAGGTTTTGTTAAAAGTAACTGTAAGAGACAGAGACGCATACATGTATGAATTACTATGACCTTGCGATCGTATTGCATCATTTTGATAGTATCTACCAAATGCTAAGAGTCAATCTTCTGACTCACGCCAAAGTTTAATGACCTTATTCAGAGCAAAAAATGTGCTTGTCGATTCATCTACGTACTATGGAAGAATATATATCAAAACTGGACTCAATACTGCTCGTCTCGCTTGCTTGGCCTCGTGGTGGTGACGATTCATGTTGCAGTTTACTGCGGTAATGGTTGGATGTAAGAACCTCTCTGTTAATTGCTGCATGCAATTGATCAAGGTCCTCTTATTCTCTCGACCAGCGTATGAAATTACGCGACCGAGGAGACGTCATTCTTGGTACGTTCAGAAACATTGGTGCGTCCGGAAGCGTACGCGCGCTGGTCCTCTGTGAGGGCGGCGTAGTGCTCATCAAGCTGCACGTATGAGTTTTGCGGATAGCGGCCAGTGCCGTTGCCACATTCAGTCTTGTCAAGAACGCGATCACGCAGATCAGCCGTGTGCATGTAGACCCAGTGACCAATACTCCCTAGTAGACGGCACGAGTTAATGCTGGCAACAAAGATGTACAGGAAAGGCATGTACGTCGATGAGCTGGAGAAGTACACGATGACGAGTGCGAAGATGAGGTTGGAGAACGCCCATATGAGGAGGACGTTGGTGCGAAAAGCTTCAAAGATTCTCTTTCTGTTCTCAGTTCGCTCCTTCTCCTCGCGGCGGCGTTCTTCCATCGCATGACGCTTGGCGATCACGTCCTTGAAGTCTCCCTTTTCGGTCTCATCCCGCAAAGACAGCAGCGGATCATCGTGCAAACCTTTGGTGCCCCACGATAGATCTTGAAGGTTGCAGAATGAGTAGATTGTACAGATGTTCACGAAGCTCGGGGTTAATGCCGCGTAGTGCGTGAATGTCATGAAAATGTGGTGTACCTCGCCGTGGAGAGCTGGACCAAGGAAGTATACGCCCATAGTAAGGACCGATAGCAAAACTGAGTTGGTGGTACTTGGCGTCGAGAAAAATACGCCAATACCCACAAGGGACGAGAGCATCATCATGGCGCCAAACACAGCACCCACATAATAGTACGTGAGCTTCATGTGCTTCGGGTTGTTGCCCAAACCGATAATGATGAGCATCAGGAGCGCAAAGAGGTACATGAAGTTGTAGATGTACACAGCACAATCCAGCACGGTTTGCGAGTACCCCGAAGTGTCAACAAACTTGAGGCGATTTTGCTGGAACCCCTGAAACACGATGAAGTAAAGTGCCAGGTACAAATTCACAGGTAAGAAGAAGCCAAACGCCGTGTACAACAGGTGATAGATGAAAAACACCAGGAACGCCAGCTTCCTCCCAAACGAGTGCGAGCTCTCCGAGTAAATACGACCCCAATTCCAAATACTGAAGAGCGTGGCGAAGAATGCGCCGTTGAGCCAGCGCTTGCGCTGCGAAATAAGCCCAACAAGATTGTGCGGTACATCCGTGCGAGCCACAGCGTCCTTGACGTAGTGCATGGTCCATTTGCAGTTCTTCCGCGCGACTACTTCAAATGACAGAATCCTGTCCTCTGCGAGATACATGTTGCCAATAAAAGGCCCAAGCACGTCCAAGTCGATGTTCAGGGTCTGAAAGTATGCATCCAATGGGGCTCCGCGGATAGCTTCGTAGCGGTAAGCCGAGAAAGCACCAGGGAGGACGCTGACAAACCCAAAGCAGCTTTCCAACGACTTTTCAAGGATATTGGAAATCTTGTACTCGAAATGTTGCGCCGAGACAACCCAATTGTTCATATTCTCAAACGGTTTGTCTACCGTAAGTTGTCCACAAGCTCCTCCAATCTGGTGGTTGCGCTCAAAGGCAAACAGCAAGTGGTAGAGTGCTGACTTGGTCAACATCGTGCCGACATCCATCACTGCTGTGTACTCTGGTTGAATCTGCTCTGCAAACGCATTAAAGTACCAATGATGCGAGTCAAGTTTACTCGACTTGTTTTCCTTTAGTGCAAAGACTGTCTGGATAGGCAGCAAACTCTTGCCATTCACTGAAAGCTGTAGCGTATGTTCAAACAAGTGACATTGTGCTCCAATACCAGCACTATTGATGGTCAAAAGATCTTCATCGTAGAGTCCAATAGCTTCCAAGTAATCCAGCATCTTGTCATTTACCTGTTCACGTCCATCAGCTACAATACAGACCAGTACATTCCGCCAAATGTCGTCACCTCCAAACGTTCCTGTTAGAGCTTTCTCACGCTCTGTCTGTTTCTCTTTGATATACGCCAAATTATTGGCAAGTTTCTTCAATGTTGCTTTCAATTGTTGTGGGTCTTCATTGTACATTGTAATACAAATCATAAGGCGTGGACGTCTTCCTGTCTCTACGCATCGTAAACGATACCCCAAGTTGGAAAAATCAATTGGATGAGGACAATATACTGGTGTATACCACATTCGTCTTGCTTCCTCTTCATCCATACAAGGACCGAGCCAATCTTCATCCCAATTACTCACTGGAATCCCCACTTTATGTACACCTGGTCGTGGACGTTTCTCTTTGACGCGTCCTTCAATCCAATCACATAATCGTGCACACCAATTGAGTGTTTCAAAGCCTTTACTAGTCAACAAGTTGCAAATCTTGGGATTTGCTTGTCGTTCGGCCACATTTGCCATGGCATACCCTCCTTCCAGATACAATTTCAGAGCATCCCGATATCGTCTTGTATTCAGTGCAAGGGCTGCTCGATCCAACGTTACAAGAGCTTCTTCAACGGATGGAATTTCACTGTATGTGCGTACCAAATCAGTAGCACTAACATAGGATTTCATACTGGAGATCAAGTCTTGAACACTATTAGGAGGAAAAGCAGCACCTGTAGGAATATAACTGGTCACATATTGTTGGGAACCACATGAACGAATACTTGGAGGTGGTAATGGAATCCCATCGTATTCAATTGACATCATTGAAGAACGAGGACCATGAGAGAGAGGAGGGAGACCCGTACTACGTGATGGATAACTCGAAGAAGGAGGGAGAGCACTACTCATTCTTTTATTGTATGAAAGAGAGGAGGGGGGGGGGCTTTTATTGTAGTGCAAGAAACAAAATGAACTTGTGGACTTGGCACACAAATGAAAGATGAAGTGAATTGATACTAGCGCTTTTTTTCTCAGTTCCACATAAACTGGTGCATGAATCAAATGAACGTTGCCGAAGTTTTTTTCATGTTGGTGGTAAAGCGGCAGAGACTGCGGTTTCCCTTTCAATGAGAATGGGTTAGTTGCCTTTATGGAGGAAAGAAAAACATGTGGTGGGGGGGGGGGGGGGGGTGTCAAAAGACAGGGGTTACAAAGTAAGGGAAACGACGATACTGGATGACGTGTGGGAGAGAGCAGATACATTCTTTTAGATGACTAAATTTCCTCGACACTTTGATGAACGTCAGTAAGGCTGTGATTTAAATTAGGTACGATCAGTCGGAACTGCAACGTGCGTAGAGCATCCATTACACAACTTGACACCGTATTGAGCTTCATGGGTCTCGTGACGCTTTGAGATGGCTGGTTACGTGGCAACTGACATTCACCTCGGTTAAGTACGATATGTATGCATGATCATTGTATTGGTAGTCAAGTGCTGTACGGACACCCACGTCGTTGTCATTGGGACGCGTTTCGAGGTGCAACTGCCAGCACCAGTTTATAATTTTTCACTCGACCCCGAAATGGCTGAGCAACTGCAAAGAAGCATTTATTCAACTAGAAATTTCATCAGGAACTGTCTACAGGTATAGGCAGCGCTTTTCTGCGACGATGGAAGGATGAGCTTTTTACCCGACTAGCGCAATTGATCTTTGCCGTTGTTCCGAAGTTATCTCTTCGGAAGTCAGCACTTGATTTGAGCTTTGAGACAAAGGGTCATTATCACTGTAAAATTCAATAAAGCATACTCGAAACAAAGAATCTTAAACGTTGAAATGCGTTCAACATCATTGCAAACTTCACGCGAACGCTTCTAGCCGTTTGTATGACAAGTTTCAATGTCGGCAGCTTCAGTAAGCGCTTGTGAATAGACCAGGCACGCACGGACTCGTTTTTTTCGCACACGCAGAAAACGTTACGCAAAATAGTGCTGCTACCGGTATTTTACCGGAGTCTGGATAACGCCAGACACGTCCAATACGACGAGCTCGCATGAAGATTAGAAAGAGGCCGCAATCGTCCCTTTCTCCCGCTCTCACCTCAAAGTTTGCGACTTTAACTTTGACATTCTGAACGCGTTATACTTGGTCATGGCAGCTCAACTTCAAGGTGCAGGCGTTGTGCGCCACCTCATCGACCAGCTAAGCAAGCGCAGACAAAACTAAAAAGGTGCTGCTAAAGTGTAGACGTGCTGCTTGGGGCGTCGCAAACGTGATGTCACGCCGGACCATGGTAGCTTGGGATTTGCATCCGGCGACCAGGTGTCCTTGACGATTTGACTTGTCACGTATTGTGGCATCTTAACATGCGGTAGTATTTGCCAGATGTTGCCGGATTCGAGCGTCTCCAGGTGATGCAGCACTGGCATTCTTACATTTCCAAGTGTGCTCGCAGACATCGATGGTAACTTAGCTTATACGCGACTTCTTGATGGCCAGCGAAGAGGCTACCGTCAGATCATGCTTACGGAAGGGAATGCTACGCCTCATCTCTATCACATGATGCTGCAATACAAGCCCCGAGATATTGCGTTTCACTACCGACCAAGCAGCCATGCAGAACTGTACCGTCGAACGACCTTTTCCTTTTTTGACTTCCCCACTGTCCGTTCCATTTCTTTTTTTACCACCAACTCTGAAACATAATCTCCTTTGATATCGCATTCGTTTGAAGTATCGCTCTCCTCCCACGACGCGCTATCATATTCATGATCTTCACCGTATAGCCAGCCATTTCGCATTCTTCTAGCCGTTAGACAGCACTCGTCAAGCTCCCAATCCATCAGGTGCGACCCTAAATCGCATTCATCTGCGCAAAAGATCGGCTTGTACATAGCTGTGCATTCTCTAATCATAATCTCTTGCTATTACTACAGACATGAGCGCCATCATCATCAAGTCCCTCTGCCAGTCGGCCACCATGGCCGCACGCTCAAGTGCTGCTCCCAATGCTGCTCGTGCGTTGTCTACGTCGGCGACGTCTCTACTCGACGAGCTCAAGGAGCAGATTCCTGTCCGCCAAGAGGCGCTCAAGAAACTGAAGGCTGAGCACGGCCACAAATCGTTGGGCGAAGTCACAGTAGACCAGACTTTGGGCGGTGCTCGTGGAATCAAGTCTCTCCTGTGGGAAACTTCACTACTGGACGCTGAGGAAGGAATTCGCTTCCGTGGCCACACGATCCCGGATCTTCAGAAGTGTCTGCCGGCCAAGGAAGAAGGCGGTGAGCCTCTACCGGAAGGTCTACTATGGCTCCTTCTTACCGGTGAGGTGCCCACGGCTGCTCAGACTGCTAGCGTCACTGCTGAGCTGCACTCACGTGCCAAAGTGCCCGAGCACGTAACGAAGCTTATCCGTGACCTCAAGCACGCTCACCCCATGACGCAGCTATCGGCTGCTGTGACTGCTATGAACACTGAGAGTGTCTTTGCTAAGAAGTATGCTGAAGGTATTCACAAATCAACGTACTGGGAGTACACGTACGAGGACAGCATGAACCTCATCGCCCGTCTGCCTGAGGTCGCGGCTCTTATCTATCGCAACACGTACTTTGGCGAGTCCAACAACGCGTACGACTCGAGCCTTGACTATTCGGCCAACTTCAACCGCATGCTGGGCTTTGACAATGCTGAGTTCGATGAGCTCATGCGTCTGTACCTGGTCATCCACAGTGACCACGAAGGCGGAAACGCCAGTGCCCACACCACGCACCTGGTCGGCTCGACGCTTTCGGACCCGTACCTCGCCCTGGCTGGTGGGCTTAACGCTCTGGCTGGCCCGTTGCACGGTCTCGCCAACCAGGAGGTACTCGGCTGGATCCTCGACCTGCAGGCCGAGTTCCGCTCCAAGAACCTGGACGTGAACAAGGAGACCATTACTCAGTTTGCGTGGGACACGCTGAACGCTGGCAAGGTCATCCCGGGTTACGGTCACGCTGTGCTGCGCAAGACGGATCCGCGTTACACGTGCCAGCGCGAGTTCGGTCTCAAGTACATGCCTGACGACGAGCTGTTCCGTATTGTGGATACGATTTACCAGGTCATGCCGGGTGTTCTGACAGAGCACGGCAAGACCAAGAACCCGTACCCGAACGTGGACTCGCACAGCGGTGTGCTGCTGCAGTACTACGGCTTGACGCAAAAGAACTACTACACTGTGCTCTTTGGTGTGTCGCGCGCTATTGGTGTGCTCTCGCAGCTCTTCTGGGACCGTGCACTGAGTCTTCCACTGGAGCGCCCCAAGTCAGTGACTAGCGAGTGGATCAACAACTACTTTGCCAACAAGAAGTAAAAAACTGATCCAAATTCGCGAGTGACGCAGACGAGAAGAAAAAATGGCGTGACCGGCGTCTATGGATCGACTTATCAGCAGAAGAGTCTTGGCTTGTAATTAAGGCGGACAATAGGAGTTCTTTATCTGAAAGACAGCAAGCTATCGCTTCCTATACAAATGCTTGATATCTCATTAACATTCGCTTTTTAGTGTTTTTCACACAAGCTGTACACTTTACACATAACCTGGTACATTGTACCATCCAAATTGCGATTTTTTGACAAAAGTGAACTTGGTCATACATGGAGCGCTGTCTGGAAGAGATCTCCTCAACGGTATTGGACGCAGGCGAGCCTATTTCATACCGTACGCTCAGTATTCGCTCTCAAGTACCCTCAAATGTTAGTATTGAAGCCCTCACCGACTTTTCTGCCGAGAATAGCAACGTTAAAACGTTGCAATTGCTGATCAAACGAGTACCCGTGGCCACTGACGACAAGAGCGAGACTGCAGCCGCTAAACGCGATCCAAGGGCTCGTGTGCTGTCTCTAGCAGTGGGAAGTCAGAGAAAGAATGATGACGTGTTGTATCAGCAGATTTACGCGCTCTACAGCAAGTCAAATACTGCTGCAGAGAACGAAGACGAAGTGACGGCCGTGGCTACAGTCTGTTGGGCACAGGAGCGTCAGGCACGCAATGACGTGTTCAATACAGTGACCAAGAATGCACCTCTGTCTGCAGCTGTTAAGGCGCTTTATATAAGCGGAATTAAGTGTGTAGAGGCTACGGCACGACAAGATGTCGGAGAAGATCAGGGTGAGGAGACCATCTCGGCCTTCGATGCCATTAACACGTCGATTAAGAAGAAACTATCGTCTTCCATATCATCAACGTCGTTCTTTCAGAGCAGCAAGAAAACAGGGGGATCCAAGGTCAGTAGCTCGAGTAAGAATGGAGATAGCAAGATGACAGAGAGCAGGAAACAAGAGACCAAGAAACTCGACATGAGCAACGTGCTGACTATGGACAGTGACGACGAAGAAGACGACGACGAGACGGATGCTCCTGTGTTTGTCAAGACTTCGAGCAATAAGAGAATTATTAGTGACGATGACGAGGAAATGGACGAGGTGCCACCTCCGAAGGAGACAGGAACACCTGCTCCAAAGACTCGCAACGTAAAGCGAAAATTGAATGCTTCTCCAGCTGAGACGAAGAAGACAAAAGAGGCTGCGGAATTGGACGACGAGTCTCCGTCAAACAAGAAACAGCGCGTGGAGTCGGAAGACGAAGCTGACGACGATTCTGTGGAGGAACCTGTGCTCGAGACTAAGCGACGGGTTGTCGTCACCAAGACGCGCATCAATGAACAAGGTTACATGGTCACGGAGAAGACGTACGAGGAGGTAGAGTTGACGGCCGAGGAGATTGAAGAAGAGCAAAAGGCTGCTAAGAAGAGAGTGGAGGAGAAGAAGAAAAAAGCGGCCGCGGAGAAGGCTACTAAGGCCAAGAAAGAGGCTAAAAAGCAAAGCGGTCCGCCTAAACAGCGTGACTTGCGATCGTTCTTCTCGACCAAATGAATGACTCATTAAATAACGTGTAGAAGCAAATAGCTGCAATAGTAAGTGGGTTTCATCGTTATAGGTCACACAAGGCACTGACAGCTGCAAACACAAGCAAAAACTCCCGGTCCAAGGCTCGTCTACTGCTCCATGCTTTCATCTTCCTCCTCTTCGTCAACTTCATGGAACATGAACTCGCGTTGGTACTCCATCAGGAACTGTGTGGAGCGCTTGACGTCTGCAAACAGCGAGTAGACACGCTTGATATCGGGCACGTCCACTTCGGTGCCCTTGCGCTTGGAACATACAAGCGACGCAGTGATGATCATGTGGATGGCATACCGAAGCGACGTCTCGACGGCAATACGTGTAAGAAGGTCCTTTGCGTCATCTGTCATTTCCACATCTTCCTCTTCGCACCGAATGATAAGAATCTTGCGCATTTCAGACTCGCTGTATGGCTTCGTGGGGATGATCATGAGCCGGTCCAGCAAGTCAATGGGGATACCGTGTGGACTCTTGTAGTTGGTTCCACGAATACGCGTGATTCCACGGTTTGTTGCGATAATGAGCACAGGAGCCATGTCACTCTCGAGTGCGCGGTTGAGCCACGAAAAGCACTCAATATCTAACATGTGCACTTCATCAATAAAGAGCACGCCAGGAACGATGGTAGCCTTGCCCTCTTCACGCCACTCCGCCACCTTCGTATCAATCTGTTCACGCACTTCGTCCTTGATTTCACCCGTATCACCAGCAAACAATGCCAAAAATCCTTGCGAGCGCGAGTTAATGACATCGATCTCATGGAGCGAAACTACGTGCACCACCTCCTTCCTCTTCTGTAGTTCGCCCTCGGGGCACTGTACAAAGCGGGTCTGTGCACCCATGGCATCATAGTCACGAGAGCGTGTAAACGATCGTCCAAGCTTAGCAATTTTGCCAGATTCTTTATTGATCGTAATCACATCACCAGCCTCGACCTTTTCCTTGGTTAACGAGTCAATCATCTTGGCTCCGAGGTCATAGACCGTCTCCATCTCGGTCGTCCGCAGTGTCAACCTGCCGACCTTATCACCTACACCTCCAGTTGGTGTGTCCACTTGAATCTCCACGACTTCTCCTTCAATAATCTCTGTCTCCTCCATAATTCGCACACCAATTGAGCGACGGAATGCTTGTGTCAAAGCTTCTGTCTTGCTCATTTCAAGTGAAAAGACCTCACTACCAGCAATTGTAGTAAACGGCGTATCTTCTCCAAGAGCCTGAGCCATGCCCATAGCAATAGCAGTCTTGCCTGTGCCAGGTTTACCGGCCAATAGAATGGCACGACCGGCAATATTGCCTTCCTCAATCATCTTGGCCACGATTCCGGCAGCTTTACGGGCGTCTGTTTGACCAACCATCCCTTGTGAAGACATGCGTGGCTCGAGACTATCGTCCAATCCGAGGCCCCGAATATGCGAGTGAGCACCAATGCGCTCAATCCGCGTAATGTCCTTCACTTCAGCTTGAGTCTTGACTGTTCCTGTCTAAGACGAGATACAAAATCATTGTGAGGAATGTACGGTAAGATAGAAGTTGATTGTCGTATAATAAAATCTCGTACCATAATGGAGACTATAGAGAATGAAAGAGGATGGAAGTGGCTCTAGAGAGGAGGAAGTCGGTTGCTAGTGATACTATGACGTTTTTGATGATGTACGTTTCAGAACCAAGCGATAAGGTTCGCACGTAAGTACGTTTTTTCTATTGTAGCCATCAAGGGATGAAAGTCATTTTGATGTAACCTTGGGTATCAATTGAAGTTACACTACATAGAGTTCTACTACAGAGCCTGACGTATCTCTTCAATGGTTCCCCAAGGCTTCACGTTTAGTCATAAGATGAGCGGTCTCTTGAATATCACTAACAACATTAAGCCATTCATTATTACAATGCAAGAACAACTTCAACACGCAGCAACGCTTGTTTCTTATTGATGATGTGTCAGTAGTGGCACACGAATGCTTTTAGCCAGGCAATCATCGCTGCAAATTATCTCGAGTGTGCCTCACAACTTATAGCTTACAAGAAATCGTTTGATGCAAACACTTCTATACCATTGCAGCTTTGAGACCCCTCCACTCAGCTTCCGCAGGGCACGCATTTGCCTCTGTAGCTATTGAAATGAATGTAGTGTCTTGATCTATTGTACAAAGTACATTGATCTGTCGGTGACATTGTCAGATCGATTTTACGCAGTCCATCTCACATGCTACAGCAGTCAGAACAGCAGGATACTTAAGAGAGTGCGCCTCGTCTCCTACAAGCTTCGCAACCAATATGCCGCTTCCACATGGATAGCAGTCAGTCGTACGTTCATTAACGCGAGACAGCCATGGCGGTGGTAATCGCATCTTTCTTGCATTAGTTGACAAGCAATATTATATTTTGATTTGAGTAGCATGCTTGAACCATAAAAATGTTTTACTAAATAGACTAAGCATGAATACAACAAAGCATCTTTGGGGTGAGGTACCATAGTGCAGTGCTGATGAACATGAGAACTAGATTGTAAAAGGTTAAGCATTACGTAGCGAGATTGAGTGAAATAGAACTGCGAACGACAACTTAAGTCATTAAGCCGCCGATGTCGTGTTAGAAGCACTGGACTACGCCATTCGACTTTCTTTAGAAGCTACGAAAAGGATTACTAGCACTAGCCGCACTCCACCGATCATTTCCATGATCCGCAATAAAAGAGCTTACTCGGTCGGGCAGTCGCTCTTCTTCTGCGATAGAATGAGCGCCACAATCAAGCCGTAAAGGCCCAAGGCTTCTGCAAAAATCAGGATCAGGATCATGTTGACAAACAGCTTCTCCTGTTGCCCCACAGCCCGCACACCCGCGTCTCCCACCACTCCAATTGCCATGCCAGCTGCTAGACCACTTAAACCACAGCACAGACCCGCAGCCAAGTGCGCAAAGCCAGAGTAAGAGCCGTACTTGGGCATATTGCCGTTCGGAGGGTCGATCGAGCCCTGGATGATCACTGCTACAATCAGACCGTAGATGCCCAGCACACCAGCCATGACCACAGGAATGATGTTCCGCATCGCCAATTCTGGCCGCATCACACCCATTGATGCGATACCTACACCGGACTTGGCCGTACCGTATGCAGCACCAAGATCTAGACAAATTAAAATAGCAAGTAATAGTGACGAATAAATACTAATAAACAAATCACCGTAAAAAGTCACGATATCGTCTCAAAGCGACGGCAATATGCACGACTGTTTTGTCTACTAATGAGCTACGAAGAGAACGACAACGTACTGGCAAAGACGAGGGCAGAGGCGACACCCATGAAGCCAAAGAACGACGCAGACGAGGGACACACGTCTGCTACTAGTTGAGCCAACATTCTATTGAAGGAATTGGGTTTCTATGGCGCTTTCTGAGAAGTGACATATTGCATAGTAGAGAAAAAAACAGCACTGGTCAGATAGCTGCGGATGTAAACTACGTAATGATGCTGACGATATGAGCTGTAGTGTATGGTGTGTCACGATAATACGCCATCAACAAGACGTCTTCTTGTCAACTTTACGCACCTGAACAACTTTTTCAGGAATATGGGCACTAACCTGTTTTGAGCCCCCTTCGAAGGCATAATTAGATAAAGAGGTTTTTTTATCAATAAAACCTTAGCAAAGATCTATTATAGAAACAGAAGATTAACTGCTGAGAAACTAAAGCCAACATCGCTTACTTCAGCAATAGTCAGTAAGAGAGGTCCATGATAGCTACTTCACATCGTCACTATAATAGGTTCCTTCCTAAACATTTGTACTTTACGTCAGCTTTATTGACACTACTCGGCAATGGCGGAGGAGTACAGACAGCGCCTTGATAATAACGTGGAGAAGTTGGTGGAGAACTTTAAAGGACTTGTAAAGACTGCCAAGATTAAGGACCCGGCCAACACCACACGCGAGTCCTTCCAGAGCTCGATATACGCCACAACCTTGGTTCAGGCCAGTGAATCGCTGCTTAAACTCGTGTCAGAAATGAAGTTATCGCTGGCATTGGGCGATTTCGAAGGCATGAGTCAGAACGTCGACACGACTTCAGAAGAGCTACTGAAACGGTAAGACACCCTTGAAATACCTGACTACATCTCTGTGGTACATAGACAAGTGCTAATAAAACTCGACAGATGCGACGACGTGGACGCGCAGATTTCGCACTTGAGCTCAGACATCTCGTCGGCGTTGTTCGAGCTAGAGAATCACTTCTACCAGTCAAAGTGGAGACTTTCGCCTACAACAGACAGTGACGAAACATCGTAGACAGTAACATATCACAAAAATGCACAACTCGTTGTGGGATCGATGCATGGCCAGTTGATTCATGCAAAACCTTTTTTCAGACAGCAATACTGGTCGCATTAGCGATATCGTCGTCGTCTTCTTCGTCATCTTCCTCATCTTCGACGTCCACCTCGTCCACTTCATCTATCGAAGAGGCCACACTCGGAGTGACTCGAGGACCGAGAAGCACTGGAGACCCTAGAATCGCAGGAGAGATAGACGTTGCAGGTCCTGTCGAGTTTGCCCCAGCGATACCGGAAGTAAGTGTTGTGTGAATACCATTCAACGCATTCTCTTTCATCTGCCATTCATTCATCCGCCGCTGATTTTCCAAATCAGTCATCGGGATGTAGCTGCAATACCATGCGCTTAGGTTAGTACCGACGCAAAGCATAACTCTCGTTTCGTTTTATTTTGGCTCATACCTTGCTCGTTCTTTTTCAGACAGCTTCTGCCACATATCTCCAAGTATCTTTGACGCATCCTTAGCACTGGTGCTGGGGTGGTCAGCCATTATCTTCTTTCGGTTTTGCCTGCAAACAACATCGTCAGCAGGTAAGTACACGACGCCAGCATGAACTTGCTGGCTTGCTAGAGTTACCTGCAGAACATGAGAAAGGTATTTACTGGCTTAGGTGGACGGTTAGGCCTCGCTACCGGAGGTGGCAGTGGAACCATTTGCACTGTAGGCCGCGACAACGGCCTCATCCGTTTAAAGTCCTCTCGCTCGAGTTGTGGGATGTCTTCCGCCAGAATAAACTTCACAGAGGGACCCCAAACTTTTGTGTCAAGACGATCGCGGAATGCTGTTGTAACAGGTGGTAGTCTAGTGACAGAGTCTTTTAAGCCTTCTCGAATGAGCTGCATCACACCACGAATTCGCTTGATTAGCAACACGACTCATGCCACGACCTGAACGAACGATAGTTAAACACTTACTCTAGAGTAGTCGCGAAGCTGTTCGCGGATAGTTAAAGCCACTTGAGCCTCAAACTGGCCGCTTAAACCCTGTGTGCAAAATATGATCAGTCAGCAATCAACAACAAACCTATTGTACCAATGAGTTGCTGATCTTTTTACCAAGTCTTCGCATACGACCCGTGCAAATTGCTCGGGTGAGTTGTTCGGATCGTTGAGGTCCCACTCAAACTTGTCAATGTAAATGGTATCATTTAGCCGTAAATTGATAAAGATCGGGTGCAAACTCTCGCTAGTGACGGCTTCGTGCCACGGAAGCGACTTTTGCGCTTTTTCGACCTGCTCCTGAATCGATTTGGCTATGCGTTTGTAAAAGCAATCCGGAAGGTCCAAATCCCTCACTAATGCTGCGGCAAACGTCTCGTACGTAAAATCTTTTTCATAACTGCACATTTAACGCGTTCATTGTCGTAATCAGCACCCAAGAAAAAACGTCAATATTTACAACAGAGCAAGCTATACACTTACAAATTCCATGAGAAGGAGTCAATGTATCGATAGCCCTCAATGTCAATGTCGAGTCCGATAGGGATTAGCAAAGTGTCGCGAGCCGGAAACTGTGAAGAATCAAAAAAAGCGAGCTGAAGTTGATGCAAAAAGCCGGTCAGGTTACCTAAACAACGCACCTTGGGGTAGTCGTACAGTTTTCGTTGAGCAAGGATCATGCCGTCTTTTCTGCGCCCGTCAATCAAGCATGATAAGTAAATAATGTCACGCATAGGCACATGATCTTGTCGTGCTGGGGTACCTTCGTGCAGCTTGTAAAGGATCGTTCATTTCTTCCAATCTTCGTTTCAGCTTTGGAGAGCTAGCCGTCGAGTTGAACACTATCGAGCACACCATCACGTCAGACAATCGACCAATACAGATGGCACATTTTTCATATACATCAGGACGTACACATCATTGCCTTCTCCATAGGTTTCCCTCCGCGCCGACGAATCAGCCACGACTCCATCAACCCGTTGATCTTTACGACAAAAAAGCCACAACCAGTAAGCAGCGTGCAATCTCACTCTTAGACATATTACAGAGTCATCAAAATCACACAAAATTACAAAAAATCACACCTTACCCGTCCAACATTGCCTTTGTACCTTCCCAGCATCCACTGAGACAACATACTGGCATTCACACCGCATTCTTTCGACACGTCTACTTGGCGAAGACCGAGTCGGTTCCGCAGCGTCTCCACCTACAGTCACAACATTAGATATTATCATACCAAAGAACATCACAGTATCAGTGCCATAGTTGACTATAAATCGTTTAAAAGTGAGTAAGCTGGTACCTCCTGCGAGAGCACAGAGCGCTCGATCTCGGCATTGTCCTGACGAATTGAAGAGCAACAAATTGCCAAGAGTTAAAGAGGAATGTTGCAAAGAAGATAGAAGAAAAAACAAGAGCAGTTCGGGTCTCCTTTGCTCGCCAGAGGCTGCACACGCACCGGCTGAACATGCGCAAACTCTCGACCCGCCATTATGTAACTGAAAGTTGGGATACAAACGTCTCGAAATAATGATTGGTAGAAATTACGGAATGATGAAAAGATCAGATTGGTAGAAAGTAAAACTGAAAAAAGGCTGGGATGTTATTGTAAAAGTTACATTAACTAACGTAATAATTGCTGTCATCTCGGTCAATCAAAGGTTCAGCTAGTATGATACTTGGTGATCAGTTAGGAGAAGAAAGTGTGCGCTACAATATAACCAATCGATACGCGTAGAAGCAAAGTTCCGCGATTGTACTTCCCTACAAAGCTACTTCCCATCGCCGCGGCTGCTTTGGTTGTTAAGTGACTCAAGCCACCATACACCTGTTATGATTGGCTACAACCCTTTCGATACTGTCGTCTCATTGGCCAATCATGCGGGATAAAAAGGGAAAAAGTTAGGTAGCTCATTTTGCAAAAATAGCTGTAACGCGCACTCAAAAAAGTCGAAAAGTTGCTGGAAGGTCGTACGTACGTTTGCTACGACCGTAAAGAGACAAGTAGTACAGCAACACAAGGTGACGTCGCCATCGACTCTTATAATGGATTGTGAGAGCAGCATCGATCATCTCTTTCGCGACGATATTAAACCGTACGGAAACTCTTGTTCAGTATCTGAAGCAGCGGTTTCTATTGGCTGATAAAGATGCTAACGACCATTAAAATTGAACATAGACGTGACTTGCCATCGTGTGAGTTGGAGAACTTGGATGAGATTCTGATTCTACTCAAGACAGCGCACCCGACAGTCCGTTCAGCGGTGCTTACGGATCTCATGGATAAGGTGAACAAAGTGGACAATCGATTGAACTGAAGACTCGAGAGACTCACTGTTGCTGATGACATACAGGATGGAGCATACATTGCCAAGCTCTTGGATCTCTTTGATGTTAGTGAACTGGATGCTGACAAGTCCGAGCTGTATAAACTGTTTGACGTCTTCTATGCGATGCGTAAGTTTCTTTGCTTGTATCTGATTGGGTGCATATGAGGCAGAACTAATGCTGTTATGTATGTATGTGTGATAGTTGAGATGTGCAATCGTGGCGTGATTGAGATTTTACTAAGTGATACCAACTTTATCTCGGTTGTCGGTGTATTTGGCTATAATCCTGGATTAATTCGTGAGATGGATTTTCGAACAGCGTTGGAAGGAGGTGGAGGGTTCAATGAGGTATTTGTATGAAACAATAGGACAGAACGGACTAAATGCTGACGTTTCATTTGGTTCTAATTGTTACGTGGCAGGTAATCCCCATCACTGATCGGAGTGTGGTGGAGCGTGTACACATGAACTATCGGATCCAAGTGATTAAAGATAATGTGCTGTCACGCTCTCTTCCTGATGGATGTGTCCTTTTGTTGGAACACATGATCAATGAGAACAGTTTTTATATTCTTACCTATATTTCCGAGACTGAAGATTACTGGAAAGCAATGTACGTGTTGTAGTGCTAGTGGAAGATTCGACGTGATCGAAAAGCTGACGAATTTGTGGCTCCTCGTCTAGTAAGGACCTTATTGTTAGTAAAGACAAGAGACTGGATGGCCTTGGATTGCTGAAAGCGATTCTCAACTTGGTACGAGTGACCAAACCTTTGGACAGATCTCAGCGCCGTGAGCCGTTTGGAGCACCACCTGTGTTTGGCTCCCTCATTAGCAGTTTCTTTGGTGATGGCGAGATTTTTGCGGCGTTTGCTACGGTTTTGGGTTCTCCTGACTCCAACTCGAAGGAGATCGCGTTAGCAGTGGACATTTTGAACGCGTTAGTTTTCTATCAGGGTCCTGACAGATTACGAGCATACCTTGCAAGTGAGGGCAAGTGTGTACCTGCACCGAGCTCGGATAACGAACGTATCGTGTGGACTTCTGAATCGTCGCTGTTTACTGCTTTGCTGCTTGTTTTCGAGCGTGATGAACCAATGCGAATCCAGTTGCTCAACTTGCTGAGGGATATTTTTTGCGTGCCGTTGGCGCAGGTATGCGCACATGAAAACGCAATAAGGGTGTCTTGCGATTGATGACAATGTTGTTGTTGTCATGCTTTTTACAGGATGACAAGTTTTTGAGCGTGCTCTACCCTAACTATATGCACTGGCTGCTTCAACCGTTGAAGAAACACACCTTTCTGTACGATGAATCCGCTATGTTTGATCTGCAAGACAGCATCATGGAACTACTCACATTATGCACGGAAAACCACGGCTATCGCGTTAAATATCTATTTGGGAGGCAACCAATTGCGTCGTACGCTGAGAAAATGCTACGCTCCAAGAACAAGCTTTTCGTTATTCGTACGTATTAGGCGCATCGACATGTCACCATCCAGGTGCTGCGAGCTGTATTGCAGTTTACTTTCGAGCAGACTGGCTAATAATTATCTCATGTTACGGTACTGACAGACGCAGTGAAGTTTGTTCGAGCTTGCATAGTACGAGCCGAGGCTTTCTTTTCCAGATTTTTGATTCAGAATGATCTTTTTACACCGATGCTAGCGAATCTGGAGATTGGAAAGACGAATACGGGGGCTGTTAGTTCAGCAGTCTTGGAAGCACTATCATATATAGAGAAGGTGACAGATCTTACCTAACTTCACTGCGTTATCTTGGCTGGGCACTAAACAGTCTGTTTTGTTTATTTGATGAAGACGAACATGACGTCTTTGGTCGAGCACATCTACACAAAGTTTTTCGAGACATATAAAGCGGAGTGTCCACTAGTGTTTGAGGCCATCCGTGCACGCCATAATGAAAACTCGGGATCTGTAGCCGAAGCTCTGGATTCCATCGATAACAACAAGGTCCGCTTTGTACGGGCAGGGAGCATTGTCGATGAAGAAGAGGAGTTGTACTGGGAGAAAGATACTGAAACGACTGAACCTGCACCCGAACTCAAAAACGGACTATCAGAGGTGAGAATGACACGATAATGATGCTATAATTCTAATGTGGTACTAATTGTTTTGCGTGACATCACTTAGGAGGTGTCTTGTCAGAACAGCCCGAGATTAGTAAAATTGGTGGATTACGATGACGACGACGACGAATCAACGACTCCGAAGGATGAAAGCAACTCGGCTGAGGCAGCATCTGCTACGTCTCCACGTGGTGCTGATATCGATGAAAAACGAGAACTTCAGCTCCCAGTACGCAAGAAGAAGGAGGAGGAAGTGACCGCTCAATCATTTCTGGGAGGAAATAGTGTACTCGCTCACAAAAAAGCTCACCAGAAAATCTCGAATAAGGCTCGGTCGCCCCAGTTTAAGAACGTGTTCCAGAAGATATCATGGAAGCTCAACACACCTGTCAGCAGTACTGAACATGGAAGCAATATGCTGACAAAGGTTGCGACCGAGAAAAAGGGTTGCAACGACGGCAGCAGTTTTGCACAGCGCGATGATAGCAACAAGAATAGTGTAGGGAGCGAGTATGTGGCCTGTGATGATGGTGTAAACGCTGAGTCAGCAGCTTTGATCGTTGCGAAGCGGAAGCTAGCACTGGAGGAAGTGACAAACTCAGAGCGTTTGCTCAAAAAGGCAAAATCATGTACTCCGATCAGCTCCAGCTAGCGAGGCAGAATAAATCGCATACAAGCCAGCAGCTGGAAGAAGTAACAAGGAAAAAATCGGCAACGTGTGGAGTGCAATCTAGCCAATCGATAAAAACGCATTAAAATGGTAACACAGAGGGACGGAAACGTGGATGGTGTTCGACTAGCGGTCTGACGCTACACGAAAAGATCGCTGAAAGAGCGAGCAAAACTGGCAAAGTTGAGGCTTACTGGTAAGAGAAGAGTTGGTCCACATCGGTTTGAGGCGTGTTGGCATCCAGTAGAGTTTTGCGACAAATCATCGACGTCGTTTTGTGTCGGATTCGCTCACGCTCCAGCTCCAGTGTTTCGCGGTCTGCCTGGACGTTTAAGAGGGCGATTTCTTTCGCCAGTTTCTCGCGGAGCAATCGACTTGTTTCGTTACCGTCGGTATCTGCATCCCTGCTACGCTTACTAGCCTCAGCATCAGAGAGAGTTTTTTGAAGCTGCATAAATAATATCTCTGCGTAAAATTTGACAAGCAACTGTAGCAGCTGAGCATCATACACATCAGATTGGGCTGATCCTTCCAGTCGTCGAATTTCGTTTTGAATCCGTTTGAGAAGCTCACTGAGTCCATCAATAGAGTCCGCAGTCATGTTTTTTGCTGTATGAGAGCATTGGAGCTGGAGGCCCGCAAGCAACGATGAAGATGTCGGTGTACAAGTTGTTTGGGTGTTTTTCTCATCCGGATTTTGAGCTGTTGCAGCTGAAGTCTTTTGCCTTTTCAGCGGTTGTAGAGACAATTGTCTCTGCTCTTGGTTGCGTTTGGAAGTATCCAAGGATGAACTCAATGTACGACTAGATGACGTCGTATCTGTCAACAGCCAAAACTCGTCCGTTGCCTCAACACTTTGAGGTTTAACAGGATCAGAGACAACTGGCGCATTAGCAAAGCCAACGTTGACGTCCACACTTTCTAGTCGCGATTGTTGCACTTGATTGTAACGTTGTTCAAAGCTTTTCACTGATCTTGGCATTGGAATTGGCTCATAAGATGACACTTCCATGCCTTCGACAGCGCATAGAAACGCTGGATTGGAGTCGGTGAGATCTCCCGACAGTTGATCACGTTTATCGTTGCGCTCTGCAGCAGCAATTGAAGCAGAAGGCCCATTGATTGCTGAAGTGTTGAAAGTCTTGTGCTTTGTTTTGATCTGCGCTGGACCGTTGGCTTTCTTCAAGATCCGGTAGATGAAATTGGTGCTGCGTTCCGTTCTCTTGGCAATTGTAGAGACTGGCACCCCGTCCTTGCGCATCTGAAGAATCTTGACGCGTTCTTCATCCGAGATCCAAATACCTTTCGCCATTGATTTGATTTCTTCTGTAGCTTGTCAATTAACGCGGCAACTCAAAGAGTTGTTTCTTTTTCCCGCGCTTTTGAAGTTGAAGATACACTTCAAACGGAGAACGAACTTACCGAGATCCAGTGCGAACCTTAGGATGAAGTACTGCATACCGAACTTAGCAAGCCCAAGAGCGTACTTAATCCCCTTGCATGCTGCGTAAAATGACGCTCAAGATGGTCGACATTGGTGCCAATCTCACAGATCCGGTCTTTACGGGTCTTTATCGTGGGAAACAAAAGCACGAGGTACATTGCCAACGTCTTATCTATCTTCATACTACAGTTTACGCTCTAATATGGCTGTTATACCACTATAATCCAGTTCGATCTGACCACAATTCTGACTCGAGCCAAAGCTTTCGGCGTCGAGAAGATTATTGTGACGGGTGGAAACCTCGAAGAAAGTCGTAAAGCATTGCAGCTGACAAAAGATAATGAAGGTGATGCTTTGCCAAAGCTTTTCTCGACTGTGGGAGTGCATCCGACACGTTGTAGCGAGTTTGAGGCAGACCCAAACGCGTATTTTGCAGCGCTATTGGCTTTATGTGAACAAGGCAAACACGATGGAAAAGTGGTGGCTATTGGGGAGTGTGGTCTAGACTACGATAGACTCGAGTTCTGTGACAAACAAACACAGCTCAAGTACTTTGAGAAGCAATTTCAGCTAGCAGAGCGGACCAAGTTGCCTTTGTTTCTTCACAATCGGAATACGGGAGGAGATTTCTACGGTGTGTAGATACATAATTGCCTAAGAAGTAAGGGTGTAACTGCACTAAGTCGTTCTTGTGCGTTCTGATGAGTTTTGTAGATATGATTTCGAAGAATCGATCAAGATTCTCGAATGGTGTCGTGCATTCTTTCACGGGTGAAAAGGATGAGATGCTCAAATTGGTGGAACTCGGACTGTACATTGGTGAGCACAAATTGCTGGGGAGAGGTGTAGCACTAGTGGCTTAGTTACTGACGTCTGAGGGTTGAACAGGAGTGAATGGCTGCTCCTTGAAGACTGAGGAGAATTTAGACTGCGTCAAGGAAATTCCGCTTGAACGGCTAATGATTGAGACCGGTACGCTGATCTTAACTGATTGCAAGGAGTGCGGTTATATTGTCTTGACTTTATTCTATGGGCATCATTTTCTGACAGATGCTCCTTGGTGCGATATTCGTGCAACGCATGCTGGTCATTGCCACGTGAAAACACTGTGGCAGAGCAAGAAAGCTGAAAAGTACACACCCGATTGTCTCGTCAAAGGACGTAACGAGCCTTGCACACTCGTGTAAGTTAAGCGTCTACTTTTGCGTCGTGCAGTCGACTCGTAAGGTAAATATTACGATCGGTATACTAAATGGTGTTGTTGTGCAGTCAGGTGCTGGAAATAATCAGCGGCATTCGTGGTGAACCTCAAGAAGATATTGCGATCAGCGTCCATGAAAATACTGAAAAAGTGTTTTTCAAAAAGGGATAAATTCTTTTCTAAGCGTTATAGTGCTGCATGAAGATTCAGTCATCAGTCAGTGACTAAAGCAGTTTCGATATAGTGTTTACCTTGCGATACCATTTTGCGCAAACAAACTTGAAAGTAGTTTGCCGGTTTTGTGACGGTCGATACAGGGAATTTTTGTGTGTAATTAGAGCATGCCGAAGTATTTGCAGGTATAAATACAGGGTACACGCACAATACTGTATTACGTATGTAACGAGGTTACACGACGGTTGTAACATCATTCCGAAAGTTTACGGTTAAAGTTTCCCTTTATTGCATATAATGTATTCTTGATACTTCTCTATAAAGGAGGTATTAAGTATGAGCGTTAAAGATACGGTATTTGGTACTACCGTATCTCATCGATTACCGACCCCGCGGTGTACTAGTTTACCACTCACTACGGGACCGGGAGGTCACGGGTTCGATACCCACGGCCGACAAATCCTCAAGTATAATGGAGGTGGGTTTGAACTGTGCATCCGTGTACTAGGTGCGTCGCCGTTAAAATACGTACCAATCCAATTGGAAGGGCAAGCCTGGTGAAATATCACCGTATCTTATCGATTAGGATTCGATAATCGATAACGCTGTACTAAGTACATCATACACAGATGTTTAGACGATACGTCGTCCAATAGCAAAGTCTGCATATTATAGTTACTATTATAGTAATTAATCTAGTGTAGTGTACTTAGAGTAGGACTATTCATAACATTTTAATGCATAACATACGATTATCCACTGGCTTCTAGCCGTGGAGCAATGCGGTATGGCGCAGCTCATCGAAGACGACGCCACGATGGTGTCGTATGCCATGTCCAACTTGCGTGGCAAAGCGTCAGAGTGGGCATACTATGCGCTGATGGCAAATGCTGATGCGTTTCCAGCATGGATGATCTTTAAAACAAATATTCGCGCCATGTATCAGCCGCCTAACAACGAAGTGTTGCTTATGGCGCGCTTCTTTGGAGCACGACAGGCGAAACGATCTTTGCAAGAATTTGTGCAGGAGATGCGTTCGTTGTCGGCGTCCAATAATGAGGAACCGATACCGGAACGTATCAAGGTGGCCACGTTCATGAATGGACTTAGGCACGGCCCATCGCGTCAGGCCCTTTTTAAAAAGGTGCCAGCGACGATGGAAGAGGCGATTGACATTGCCTTAGTTGAGTACAATCCTACAACAGCGCCTCGGCGACAGCCTATTACAGGCCGTCGGCCATGAGGTCGGATGCCACTCCAATGGAGTTAAGCAATGCAGACGTGGTCTGCTACAAGTGCGGCAAGCGCGGCCATATAATGGCTCGCTGCTATGCCAGACTTGCTGCTGGTGGTAAGACACCCAGCAAGAGTCTCCCAGGTTCAAGAACCGTGCACGTCGCACGGGTTCAGATTCGACCCCCGATAAGTCGGGAAATGCGGGAGCGCAGTAGGGGCGGGATGCCCTACTGTCGCGGACTCTGAGTTCAGAGTGATCGAACAAATGGGTAGCATAGTCCCTGAGGTTCCGAAAGGTCGGACCTCAACCCTTTTGGTCTATAGCGCTCGAGTACGAGGCAATGACCAAGTGATGACCCTTCTCGTTGATTGGGGTGCATCACAGAATTTTGTGAAACTTGCGGCTCTGAAAAAGAGTCCGGCGAATTATATGAGTCGCTTTGCCAGGATGGCAAGCGAGAAGAGGCGATCGTTCATTTAGCGAACGGCGCGCTCGTTAAATCGGAGGGAGTTCGAGTTGAACTCGCCTTCAGTTTCAGTGACTTCTCTTGTAAAGAGAAGTTCACAGTGCTAGGTATGGAGAGTCCGTATGACCTCATCCTAGGCATGCCTTGGTTGGCTAAACACCAACCATGGATAGAATGGCGTACACGCACAGTCGCTAACTCTACGCAAGACACGGGAAAGGATGTGCACCTGCGAGAGGTTTATGTGGCTGATGATGTGTCCAAAACAGTCGAGGGTGCGATGACGGTATGTCAATCGGCACCAGGAACTACCCAGCTCTAAAGGAGTGGTGTAGTTGGAAGTGATCTGGCAGAAAGCCAGGTGACACAAATTCCTACCCGGCTAGAGGAGACTGGTGTAGTGAATGGGACGATGACAAGTAGTCATGCGTCCAATAGTCCTGCACAGAGCCGAGAGCCTGTGGCAGTTGATGGTGGGCGGACAGGAAGTCAAGCACCACAAGAACCGGCACAGAGCCATAAGCCTGGTGCGGTTGGAAGGAGTGCGTTGGATATAGCAGCAACGACACCTTCTTCCAGGTCAAAGGTCGTGGTGACTCGAGCAGCGAGCATCAGACGTATCAAGACGATCAAGGGAACGTCGAAACGAGTGACCCTTGGATCAGGCTCGGTCCAAGAGGACGAACCTACGAACGAGTTGTTCGAGGCCGTCGAAGACAAAATGCCGGATGCATCCTCAGTTGAGGTGCTCCAACTTGTCTTGCCATCTGCCGAGGAGATAGTAAATCTTTCGGAGATGACGTGTGATGTGTTTCCAGCAGAAGTGCTGAGCCGCCTACCGGCCGATAGGGGATTCAGGCACGAGATTGACTTGGATCCTGGCATCAAGTATTGTGCGATCAGGCAATGTCCGTTGCCGAAGGAAAAAGTCGATTACATCGAAGAGTTCTTCGACAAGCGAGTCAAGACGCGCCCCATTACTTTGACGATGTATTCGTGCATAGTAGGGCGGAGGACGGTCTGAGCGCAATAGAGTCGCACAAGCGTCATTTAGACGCTGTGTTGCTAACTCTGGGTGACGCCCAATTATACGTGAACTTGCAAAAGTGCGTAATAGGGGTCCCCGAGATACCTGCACTGGGCTGCATCGTAGGTGCACATGGTGTACGAGCAGAACCAGAAAAGGTAAAGGCTGTAAAGGAATGGCCAGTCCCACGTCAGTGAAGGATCTGCGCCAATTCCTTGGGCTCGCTAATTACTTGCATAAGTACAGCAAGAATTATGCGGAGCAGACTAAACCATTGTCTGACCTTTCAAAAAAGGATACATAGTGGACTTGGTCAAAGGAACAAGAAGATGCGTTCACTTCAGTGAAGCAATCTCTTGTAGAGGCACCGGTCTTGGCATTGCCAGACGCGGATAAGCCCTTTAGCGTCGTCTGCGATGCAAGCAATTTTGCAATCGGCAGCGCGCTCATGCAGAAAGATGACAGCGGCATTAAACGTGTCATTTCGTATCAGTCTCGGCTTTTAAAAGCTGCCGAGCTGAATTACCCTGTGCATGACAAGGAGCTACTTTCAATTAAGTATGCTCTTGTAAGTTTCGTGTGCACCTCTTAGACACCGAACCCTTTGTGGTTTATACGGATCACGCATCACTGCGTACCGCTATCAATTCACCGCACCTCTCGGATAGGATGGCGAGATGGCTAACATTCTTCTCTGAATTTAATTTCAGGGTTGAATATAAGCCGGGTAAGTCGAATGTCTTGGCTGACGCGTTATCGCGCAGACCATACTTCGAGGCAAGGCACCAGGAAAGTGTGTCTCGTGAGAAAGCACAAGTTGAGTCGTCGACATTGGCAGCCGTAAAAGCGTACCATGTGACGAGCTCAATGACCACCGATATAAAGGAGCGTTACAGTCAGGACGAAAATTGTCGCCTGCTGTTTGATCATTTTGGTGGACGAAAGGTTACCCTTCCGTCGCACCTCAAGCGAAGTTAAATCGCTTTAGTTACAGTGATGGCCTGTTATGGCATCAACTGTCTCTCTGTGATCCCTTGAGAATCTATGTCCCTCATGACACAGATCTCAAGCTGATGATACTTCACGAGTGCCATGATGCGCCATCTAGTGGGCATCTGGGCCGTGAAAAGACATTCTTACGAGTGTCAGAGGAATTTTGGTGGCCCCACCTATAACGATGGGTGGCCAATTATATTCGCTCTTGCGAAGAGTGTCAGCGCATAAAGCCTGCACCTTCGAACAGTGCGCCATTGAAACCACTGCCGTTTCCAACGGATTGTTGGAGTTTGGAACTCATGTTTGGCTTAACGCCTGAACATAAAGGCAGGACGGGGCTCGTTGGCTTTGTAGACCGACTTAGCAAGATGGTGCATTTAGCACCATGTAGCACCAAGATCTCAGGAAAAGAGGCTGCCCTCTTGTTTCTGGATCACGTGTACCGACTACACGGGATGCCCGAGTCCATAGTATCGGATCGGGATCCGCGTTTTACGTCGGGTTTTTGGCGAAATGTGTTTGAGCTGCTGGGTAGCAAGCTCCACATGTCAACCGCTGACCATCCCCAGACCGATGGCCAAACAGAACGTGCCAATCGAGTTGTTGCGTACTGTAGCGACTCTAAATAATTAAGGTAAGAAATTGCCATTCGTGGATCTCGCTATTATTAACAGTGTACACGCCAGTACGGTTGAAACACCGTTTTAAATTATTAAACTGCGTCATCCTCGAACGTCAGTCGCGTTTGTACGCAGCCCGAGTCTTAGTGGGGGAGGGCCCCTCACTTCGCTCGGTGCGAATGCCAAAGAGTGTCAAAATTGCCTTAGTGACACTGCTAATTTAGTAGTGGTCACGTCAATTATCGGTATCACAGAGGAGGCATGTCAAATATTGCCTGTGCACCTTGACGATGACACTATAGTAATATCAACAGCGTCGACCCATGACCGATCTCTCGGAGAAGCCATAGGCGAGCTGGATGCTAGAAGCGTGAGCGAAGCTCAGCGCTTGATGGAGGAGCGATTAGCTATCACACGTTGAGTCCGTGATGCTATGGCAAGGGTACAGAACAAACAGGTTCAATATGCGGACCGACATGGTCGCAAAAACAATGAACACTTGAGTGTTGGGGACAAAGTGCTATAAAGTACTACTATCCTACCTTAAAATACAATTTCTGTACTACCTGGTGGTACTACTAAGCTATTGCCCCGATTTATTGGGCCCTTTGCGGTTGTCGAGGAGGTTGGAGACCTAAATTATATCATCACTCTTTCACCGTATATGAAGGCGTACCCCGTATTTTACGTGGGTCGTCTGAAACGGTATGTAGGTCCACAAGAGGTCACATATCCGCATCAGTCTAACAAGATCGATTGATATCGACTGTGAGTCGAGAGTCGTTGCCGATCAGGCGACGGGGAAGGTGAACAACTTTCCGTAGACGAGACCGACGACGGAATACTGGGTGATCGAGGAGGACTCCGCGTTGGACGCGGGTCTCTCATCACCAGTCGCTCGTGTATGTCCAAACGGGCCTTCAGGTGGTGTTACCCCTGACGATCTCTCGTATTCACACACCGTAGATCCGAAGTCAGTCGCGAGACTTGACTCGAAGGATCAGCCACTCTCTCTTCAGCGCAGCAATCTCCGCTGCGACTGAACGACAACAGGATAGGCAGTCGCGAGTAGTTGGGCGTAATCGCCGCTCCTCTAATGTGCCACCTATGTTGGTGGATGCGGGTGGGAACACACGCTTCCTTGTTGGAAGGTTGTTGACCCACCACTATGTGAATCAAAAGTTCCATATCCTTGTCCAGTGGAAAGGATATCCGAAGAGTTTCGACCCTTACGATTCGATTGAATCGTTGCGCGTCGAAGTGCCTCGGCTAGTGGCTGCTTAAGAGCAGAAGCATCAGCTGCATTCGCTCTTCTAGATCCTGATGGGTTAGCAGGGGCAGCGTAGCGAGAAGGAGTTGGGAAATGTTATCACCCAATATCTCCCTCGCACGCGTCATATCAAAGCAGATTCGCTGAGACAGCAGTTTCACTGCATCTACATGCGGTGAAACACGGCGCAGGAAATTTGCCTCGTATTTGTTGGTCGTTTCATTGAACGCAACACGACGGGGATAGGGAAAGAACGACCACGTGCTTCGCCCTTCCGTTTCCATGATGGAAAGACGCTAAAACGTTTATTAGCGTCAATAGTGGCGCGCCATTAATGCGTCGCACTATTTACACTCCAGCGTGGCCACTCAGATGACGGTGTCATATCTGGCAAACCGTCACTCACGTAGCCGCCCTCGCGACGGCGTGCTAGTGAGGCCGACTTTGAAGTCGAAGGGGCTTTTGATCACCCTCGCCTGAGTCTGACTCTCCATTATGGATTGTCAAGACATCAGATGTAGGGTTGACAGAGGTGGTCAATTTGAATCGCCGACCTGCTGTTAAGTCGCGGCTGTTTCTTTCGAAGCAGCGCGCTCAGTTGTGGTCGCTGTGATCGTTGGCGCAGACAATGTGTAATGGGGCAACCTATTACATGAGTAGTTATAGGATTAATACATAATTACATAATTGGCATAGGGCAGTATTTGATTAGCGGATACTGCGCGTCATTTTATTATTGGTTTATTATTGGGGTGCCAGACCCAATAATTAGCCAATAATGAATTGACTTCCATATTGAGTGGTTCCCATGAGCTAGGGAACATATTCGCACTTACTGCGAATTAAAACTAAAACAAAAATAAAACAGAGTTATATTTACGAGTTAATTAAGAGCGCTTCCTCAACGCCCTTTTAGTGTAAGATCCTTAGCCCGTTACACAATGAGGCATGACCCTCGCTGTCAGGAAGCATGGAAGCTTTCTGAAATTTGAGTGTTTTAAATGATGGGGACAAATGTCCCATCAGAGCACTGTGCGCATCACCACTTTTGGTTGATGGCAATGGTGTGCTCTCATTGTAGTCAACAATGAGAGACAAGTCTTCATCCGCACAAAAGTGGGATGGACCAGTGTACTCTGCTGACAGGCTGACATCAGATGTCGGCATTGTCACAGAGGCACTTCGGGACGGCTGCGAATTATTGCGGCACGTGCGCTTGATGCTGGTCTGCATGGACGCCTTTGGCAGGCGACTCATCAGCCTAACCACGTTTCGGCGGCATCGTCTCTTTTTTCGATGTTTTACGTAGGAATACGCTTCTAAAGAGACGCGTATTCAATTTTTGTATAATTAGCCATCAGTAATTAAGCTTATATTTAATTTAAATCTTATGAAATGTAAGTCAGTCTTAGATTTACTACATCATACTCACTGCGCACGAAAAGACTGAAAACATACGTAGGTAGCTGCTTGTTCTAAAAGTTCGCTGCACGGATCACTTAAAGTAGCCGGCAACAAATTGGATCGGCTTAAAGCGCCGACCAACACCATCTCCATGGCAAGCGGATGTGAGACGGTCTAACTGCTTCCTAAAGCTGCTCAAAGGTTCGTGCCCGCGTAGTACGTGGCAGCTTCTTATTGAAGCGCCCGTCTACAGAAGGCATCATGCACATTTCGTCAAGAGATGATGACTTCTACTTACCGGACAACCAAACTCTAAGATGCTTTTCATCGGATGATCATAATGAAATTTCGCCTTCCGCAGACCATTCTCGTAGTACTACCGCTATTAGACGTAACCAGGATGCAGCATGGCGCCAGTTTAGCACCCACATGACAGTCAGTGATGACATACCGTGATAACATGGTCATCGAGACGCTTATTCGGTGCTACTTCTCGCCACTCCACTCCACCGCGCAAAAGTACATATACACGGGCTCAGCGAACGATCGTGTGTAAGTGTCTGACAGTATTTATAGTGACCTTGTAAAGGCATTTGCAATGAAGTCTAGCAGACTTATCCGCGATGTGCGCTGGCATCCATTCGAGTCCACAATTATATTACTCCGGACTTTAAAGGCAAGTTGTGCGTCAGGCAGCGTCAGGACGAAGAAGACAAACTGCCTTGACCTTGATCGAGTGTACGACTGTAGAATATACAGGTAACGGATGGATATCACGGCGCAAATGTGTAAGTGAGTTCTGGTCAGCGGGCTCAAATGTACCCATATCAACATACAATACAGGTCGAAATGGCTCCATGTTTGGATTATAACACCACACGTAAATAATTACTGGTCATCTCGATATGAGCGACACTAATGAGTCTCCAGCCGCTTTAGAGCTTAAGCTAACCGACTTTGTCATCGATGAGCAGCCCAGCGCTTTTCTGAAACTTACGATGAGTCGCCGCATCAAAGACAAAACGATCGCAGAGTCCAAGCTCGTCCCGTTCCTATTCCAACTGCTGCAGTCGACTTCCACCTCAACTTTCAGTGCTTTAAACGCTGATTCCATCGTAAATCGCGTACTATACGGGACTGGCTCACGTCGTGTCATTTTGCTGGAATTTTCGGACATTGAGGTGGCTCAGAAACTGCGTGAATTGCTCCATGAACAGCCTTGTGAGCTGCTTGGCCGACGTCCCATGTACGTCGAGTTTGCAATACCAAGAAAAGAGCAAGAATTTCGTGATCGGCTCCTGAGAGTGCACCATGTTCAACGTAATGCTGATTCGCCTGAACGACGAGTTCCAGGACTGAGATTTGAGGCTGAGTTTATTACTAAAGCACAAGAAGATGCGTGTCTTGCCTTCTTTGAGAGAGATAATGGAGCTCATTGGGCTCATACCATTCGAGCGAGACAAGTGCAGCACTTTGGCTACACGTTTAACTATGATACGAGGAGATGTGACTCTAATGAGCCGATGAAAGAACCGATACCACAAGTGTTGCAATCGATAATTGACAAGATAGAAGAATGCAGGATAATGGATGGCGACAAACCTGATCAGATTACAGTAAACGAGTATTTACCGGGACAAGGGATTGCTTTTCACTTCGACACCCACTCGGCATTTACGACCACCATTGCAACATTGAGCATCTGTAGTGAAGTTGTTATGGACTTTCGGCACCCAGATGGCATTCAAAATGAAGGTGTGCTCTTGCCAGCGCGTTCACTAACTGTTATGAGCGGGGTGAGTCGTTACATTTGGGAGCATGCCATTGTTCCACGCACGTTTGATGTGATCGATGGGAAGCAGGTGGCACGCCAACGGAGACTGAGCATTACTTTTCGTAAGATCCGATCAGGCCCGTGCGAATGTCCATACCCAAAGCATTGCGACACCCCAATGCGTGAAGGACAGGATACTAGTAAGCAAGAGGCTGAAGAGGACGCTGAAACTAGCCTGGCACCTACCGTGTTGGAGCAACAGTACGTTCATAAATTTTATGAGACAGTAGCGGCGCACTTTAGCAGCACTCGACATAGCCCATGGCCGAGAGTTGCTCACTTCGTAGCAACGCTGCCGAGTGGTTCTGTGATCGCTGATATTGGTTGCGGAAACGGGAAATATATGAAGTGTGTCGATTCAACGCAGAGCTTTGTAATGGGCGGTGACCGAAGCTCACGTCTCGTGAATATCTGTCGAGACCGCGGACTTGAAACGATGGTGTGTGACGCACTAGCAGTTCCGTTGCGCTCGAACTCGTGTGATGCTGCGCTGTCAATCGCAGTGCTTCACCATCTCAGTACTCTTGGTCACCGACTAGCGGCTGTGAAGGAGCTGCTTCGTGTTTTGCGTGTGGGCGGACGTGGAATCATTTACGCATGGGCGCATGAGCAGATGACGGGTTCTCGTCGTCGTTTTGAAGAAGGCCGGCAAGACTTCATGGTGCCTTGGAACTTGGACAAGCGTTTTGCCACTTCCTTTGAAAAAAGCCCGACTGCCGTGAAATCTGAGCGCAACGGAAAGAGTGACGATACATACAAAGATCCCATCGATGTTAGAAATGGAATCATTGGCGATGACACCGACGATAAGCCCTCTACGAAAGTGCAAGAACGCGTGGTAGTTCAACGATATTGCCACATGTTCAAGCAAGGTGAACTGGAGAGCCTTGTAGAGCTGTCAGGCATTGCCAAGGTGGAGACAAGCTACTACGATGAGTCAAACTGGGCTGTCGTTCTTCGACGTGTCCGTTGATCCAAATGGAAAATTGTGCCGGCATCGAAGGCACTACTTGTGACTGATCTGTGCATTGGCTAGCAAAATGTAGTTAATTGGTCCCTGTATGGTCGGTTTCTCCTCTCGTCACTTCATCGGTGTCATAGCTGCTATAACTAATAATAAGGCTGATCGCCATCGCGTCTGGTCTCCGTATATATTCTGCATTGCTTTTGATTTACTGTCAAGTATATCCCCACAGTACACATTTGTCCACCATGTTCACGACATCTGTGCGTCTTGAGCGATTGCGCACTTGATATCGGCTTGCCTCCGTGATCTCTGTCAATACAAAACGTTCGAGTCAAAGTGGCCCAATCCGAACAAGATTCCTTCATTTTCGTCACATATCGTTAGCTGTGGAGTGATCTCTTAACAGCAAGTGGACGATACAATATGTTGTCACCTTGCTAGATCGTCCAACCACAAGCTTATGTCCTCTGTTGGAGACAACTCCGCTTCTGTGTTCTCTATCCCGTCGCTAATGACTTCACGCTGCTTGGTCTTGTTCTGGTAAGTTTGGCTCCGAGCGACATCATTTGCTTGGTTTGAACTGGTACCGTTAGCCGAAACGGTCTGGAGCATTTGCTGCTTCTGTCGCCGTCGAATAGCTTTTCGACCTACCTGGCTCCGTTTACGCTTTTGTTACACACAAGCACCATTATCTGTTAGCTTCACGTTTACTGCCAAAGTAGTGTTCTGTCGAGTCTGTACCTGTGGTAACACAGTTTCCAGCACGCGCGGCCAGTCGCCGAGCTCTTGAAAGTTGATCAGCACGTCAACTACCGTGTTGACGTTCAATATATGGTCCGGCCGTTCTGGGATATTCTCCTGAATCGGCAATCGGGCTGTCGTGATACCAGCTTCAGTAGCTGCGTTAAGCGTTGCTCCCTGCATTTGGCAAAATGACCATTTAATGCTCCGACCGAGTTTTTATCTCGCCAGCCTACTAACCTTTCGACGGGACTTATCCACAATGCCCCCAATCACATATATCTTCTCTGGGTCTATTTTCTTCAGTACATTGGGAGAATCGGGTGATAAATACACGAGTTTGTCCAGTTGAAAGTGCTCTGCGACGCTTTCAGCTCCACGTCGCCACTGAATATACCAATTGCTGGCGCCATACCGTTCTAACGAGTGCTCCAGCTGCCCGCTAGGATTGCAAAAGACCAATTGAAACGGCTCGGCCATTTGCTTGATTGCCCCATAGCAGAGCTTAAGCTGGTTCGCAAGACTTCGAAGTTCTTTATCGTTCATGATGCTGTCAAAGCTCAAATCAATCACAATCCGTTGGCTGAAGCTGTCAGAAGCTGCTGCTCGCTGTAGACGCTGTAGTACTTCCTCCTTCTTTGCAGTCTCTTGCTTTAAAAACTTCAGACGTTCCTCTACTCAATTATTCAATACAAATACTAATGAGGTTAATAATAAGAAACACACTCGTTCGTTTTATGTCAATTCGATCGCACCTGCAGTCATGGAGTGGAGGAGTTCAAAGCGCTGTGTCTTCTGCCTCGTGCGCTGGGCTCGCAAAACTGAATTGCTTCTGGATGAATGACAGGTAGTTGTCAATTGTCGAGACGAAGTAGTGACTGCGCTGTCGAGTTCTGAAGCATCGACAGAATCATGGTGCAAAGTCTCTGATATTGAGAGCATTTTCACTAAAAATTAGAGTTTAGTCGGTGACTGGGTAGAAAATAATGACAAACAACAATTTAAACAAAATGAAGTAAAGTTACGTCTCTTAAGAGATTTTTTTGTTAAAGAGGTGTACGTTCGCTACAAATTTGACAATACAAAAAAACTTGCCTAAAATGATCCCCTGGGACCAAAGGTATATATCAGTTAGGGCAAGTTACCAGTAAGGATGTATTACTATTAGTCGATGTCTTGTGAATGGGGTCGCCCATATTATGTAGCAGTTAACAAAAGTTATAAGCTGAGGCAGTGTACTTTAGGCGAGATTTTCTGTATCTACATCCTATTGTGTACGTAGTACAGACGTAGCCAATATTGCATATTTCTGACCTGGTCATTGCTACACACGCCTCTACAGCATGATCATTTTGCTGCCGACATTGTCAGTAGAATGATGCTCAAGCAAAATGGTAATATCATGCTTGGCTTTGGAACCAGTAGTAGTGCACTTTCGCATGCTACGTATGGGACATCACCGACGACGCTCAACCCGGTACTACGTAGATAAAGTGCAGCGCGACTTCAGCAATGAGTATGCAATTCTATGCAGAAAAATCTATACCTGTAGACGGGCACTTCTACGAAGCTGCCTCGTACTACGAGCACACACCTTATACACAAGCGAGGAAGCGGTTAGACCGTCTTACGTGCGCGTGCGAGGGTGGTTGGGAGGTTAGTCGACTGCTTAAGCAGTCGTACCACCAGTTGCCTTTCGCTTAAGCGAGAGTGCAACGAACTTCTTCACAAGAAGGCACCGACGTCACGCAGAAGCTTTTCAGCTTCTCGTGCGTGGTGCTTCGGTGTTTAAGCAAATTCAAAACTGAGCTATATTTAATTAATTATAATTAAATATAAATTGAATTACTGATTGGCTATAGATGTATATAGATCGGATACGCGACTCTTTAGAAGCGTATCCTGTCGCTTGAACTTAAATCTAGATTTAAGATCGCAACTGACGTCTTTCTGAGACGTCGCGATGCCTAGCTTCAACTAGCGTCATCCCTTCTCATGTGAATCCATAAATGGATATCACATTCACGAGGGTGGATCACATTTGTGTATCGCACCCAAGTGACAGGTCGAAAGTAATCGTGGATACTTTTAGATCAAACATTACGTATATTACTTAATGTTTACGTGTAACTAGATACCCTGTTACAATACCGCTACGACGATACCATACATTAGCTTACCGGTTTCTATTCGCATCTTAATGTTGATGTGCACTGCGGTATGTTAAAGTAGATGACATCTGACGTAATGTTTTGGTCTGTCCTTCATTGATCTAATCCAAATCGAGCTTCTAATTTTGAACCGCAAATTGCACAGCCCTGACTGTAACATGTTGATCCCTTTACATTACATTGGCACTAACATGAAGTGCCAATGTAAATATATCTTAGCTGATAATATTCGACAATAGTATCTTTTCCTATCGTATTGTACTCGCATCTTCTTTAAGTTGGAGATGTTGGAAATGGGTTTGTCTTTTGAAGAAAACATTTCCGTATACAAACTTACCGTGGTCAAATTCATACAGAGGTTGAGAGTGTGATGCGAAACGATTGTCAAGGGAGTTACACTCGTGGTGAGAGAAGCAGCCTACAGAGGCGTTTCTATGTATGCTCTATATTTTAGGATTACGGTCAAAATAACTCAGGAGTTTTTCTTTCTCCTGGGATTAATACACTTCCTCTTTTTTTCTTTTAAAGCTAGCTGAATTTTTTCCGGCAACTTTCTCTGGCACTAACACGCCAACTTACTCGTGTGATTATTTTGTGCAGTGGATTCACTAACAGGTTCCCTCTGCTTACGTCTAGTCACGCGTGGTTTTTCCTACAGGTTATAAGCCCAAGATTGCGCGCGCGCCACCAAGTATGGGTAAGCGCTGCTGCACAAATGCGAAACGAAGGAGCTCGTGACAGAGGACTGAGCGGAAGAAAGGATCGGCGCAGGTGAGACAGTTGGTGCTAGGGGAAGCACACACACACACGAAGGATGGATGGCAGTAGCAAGCAATCTAACAATGGCTGGTGCATCCGAAGTTAAGCTACGACGCGGAGCCATGGAGAAATGCGAAGGACAGCAATTTGGAAGACATAAGGACGGCTATCATGAAGTGCAAGACGACGAAGAAGCGTAAGAAGTTTGTGGACCATCAGACCGCTGATGAGTCGAGCGAGTCGATGCGAGGACGACGCTGAAGTCGGGATATGCTGGCGGGATGCTCAAGGCGGCGCAAGGAATGCGTGCGTACAAGCAGCCAGCGCATGTAATGTGACAGGAATGCTTAAGATGAGCAGTCAATGAGCGCGCTTATAGCGTCAAGTACCAAGTCGCACACTCTCACCGGCGAGGGGGAGTGTTGGAAAGTGGAACTTCGTATCTAGCCGGGTACTAGATGTACGCCGGTGAAGTCTGCTAGGCTGTTCTAATATAGTCTATTCTAGGTAGTTCTAGAACGTTCGATGCATAGGTAGACTGTGTGGCAGCGGCAGATGCCACTGCACTGAGTAGGATCACTTTGCGATCGGTAAGCCACTGGGGAGGCCCGCGGCGGCGGGCCGAAACGCGTCTGGCACGCGTCCGTAAGTAAAGTCTTTTTTTGTCATGCGTTTTTTAGTTTTTAACAGGTTATGAGCCCAAAGATTACGGCCATTTTATTAAGTTCACAAAGTTTTAAACAAAGACCTTCGTTTCGATTACGTGGAAGTCCCCTTTGGTAAAGGAAGGGTTGAGATCGAGATGGAGGACAGCGAGGATAAAACAGCCGCTGCCAGTCACGATCTTTTGAATTATGTCAAGCGTCTGGAAGGAAGATTGAATGCTGTTGAGGAAGGACGCTCTCAAGCATCGGCTCCAAGTACGTCGCCCGGGTCACAGCGAGGTTCTCATACCTCGGAAAACGCAAGTGTTTTTCGCGAGACACTCAAAAATTACGGGCCATTTGGCCAGAGGATGACAGTAAATGATCTTAGTGGGGAGGATGGCATTGAACGGGGTGTAGATATACGTGCTGGAGCAGCTCGCGCTCAACAAGAGTACCCTCGTCAAGCACAGGGTCAAGGGATGGTGAGAGATATGCCACCGCAAAGACATCCCGTGATGAATCCGTTTGGCCCATCTGGGGGTGTAACAATACCAAAGTTGAACATTCAGAATTTCAACGGAGCTGAAATATATGCAGGTCTCGGTGCAGGTTTTAAGCAGTGGGCTTATTTGTTTATCGAGGCAATTGAGGTCACGGAATTGTCCTCTGGTTTTGCTTGGACGGAACGTTTGAAGGTAAACAAGCTTGGAGAGCATATGGAAGTCCATGCGGCCAGTTACTTCCAAGCAAATATTGGCATCTGGTGGGCCGTTTCGCCTCAATTATACTACGTTTTGGACCAGATGCATAATGCATTTAAGGTCAACATCACGCATCAACAGGCCGCAAACAGGTTCGCCGCGGAAAAGAATGTGTCTAGGTCGTGGACCGAACATTTCCTGTATCTTGTGGCTTTAGCCAGAGAGAGCGGTTCGCACGAGAAGTTAATTGTGGAAAAAATCGTTAAGTATGCTGCACCTCATTTGAAAATGGCATTAATGATTCGCTACAATCCCCAGCGACAAGATTACATTCAGCACGCACAAGAATTAATTGCGTGGGCTCAGGAGCTGGAAGGTGATTTGCATAAGCCCAAGAAATCGGGGCAAAATCACGTGAATTCGATTAATGAGGCGAAGCCACAACGAAGTTGCTACAATTGCGGCATGGAAAGGTACATTCGAAAGGATTGTCCACATACAAGCAAACGTACCAAACGTTTTGAAAAGAAAAAGGGACGCCAGAATGATGTAGACAACGATCGACGCTACGCGTTAAACACAGTCGACGAGAAATTAGAAGATTTTTCAAGTTCTGAATAATCTAAATTTTTGAGTGATGACTTATGGATCGTTGACAGTGGAGCTAGTCGGCATTTGGTGTCGGATGAAAGTCTTCTTAGAAATGCAGAACTTTGCAGCGAGAAATAGATTTTAATCCTCCCGGATGGTGGAGTACTACGGGTAACTAAGGTTGGAAGTGTTACACTGCAAAGTACATCTGGCATCAAGTCAACCATTGTCCTATCGGAAGTCTACTACGCACCGACTCTGGCGAAAAATCTCATATCTTTGGGATGTTTAAGGAAAAAAGGGTGCATTTTGAGAGACAATGGGAAACATATGGATATGTCGCTTGGAAAGGACGTGTTGTTCCGTGCGGAAGTGTATGGGTCAATTTTTGTAACGAAGCTGCGCGCAAAAAAAACCTATTGACGTGAATAAGAAATTTTCGAATATGGTAATGAATGTGGCGACAGAAGGCGTGCAAAGCGATGTCCAAAAAGGAACTTTACATCATTTTCACGCTCGTTTGGGTCATCTAGCTTATGACACAATTGAGAAACTGGCAAAAGATTCCAGGTCAGGCATTGCAATAACGGATCACTCGAGACCGAATTGTCTGACATGTGCCGAAGGAAAATCTACAAGAGCAAAGCAAGCGCAGAAAGACACGGGTCAACACGCTCCGATTTGATCGTGTGGGTGGAGTTATCTGCAGTGAACTGAAAGGTCCTATTACCCCACGAGATCGACGTGGAATTTGCTATTTAGTGGTGTTTGTCGATCATTTTTCAAATTACGTCCGAGTATTTGCTGCTCGAACAAAAGACAGAGCGGCAAAAATGTTTGAGCATTTTCTTGTTTGGTTTGAAAACGAGTTTAGATGCAGGATCCACGTATTGAGAACAGATGGTGGTGGAGAGTATCGAAATGTTGATCTTTTTTGTAAAGAGACCGGTGTTAGGCGTCAAGTTACGGAAGCCGGCAGAGCCAGCCTCAAATGGAAAAGCAGAAAGAATGAATCGAACCATTTTTAATATGATTCGATGCATGATTTTTGGTTCTGGAGTGCCTCTTATGTATTGGTCAGAGGCGGCAGAGTATGCAACCTACATACTTAACCGAAGCCCCACAAGATCAAACCCTGGAAGAGTGTCTCCAATTGAATTGCTAACGAAAACACAAACAAGCTTAAACGATATTGTTGTTTTTGGGTCGCCGTGCATGGCATGGCGTGATCCAAAGAAAAAGTCGTTGGAGCGACACGCCGAGAAGGCGCTAATACTTATGAAAAATGACGAGACGAAAGGTTACAAGATTTTACTTCTAAAGGACAGAGTGGTAACCATTACTCGTCACGTGAGCAATATTGAAACGCTTAACGATGAATCCAACAAGAAAATTGTTCAATCTCTAAAGGATGACGAAGAAGACGAGTCGGAGCAACTCGCTTTGGAACGAACAACTTGTGAAGAAAATAACAATCTCTGTAACGAAGATTGTAATAAGAATGAAATTGATACACGCAAAAGTAATGATGAATTTGCTGGAAAAATTGTTCCAAGGAAATCGGGCCGACGGAGCAAAAAGACACCCAAGGCAGCTGCATTGAAAAAAGGTGAAAAACCTGAAAGAAAACAATCGAGAAACGGCGATTTCGAAAACAAGAGACAATGTAACTTCACACCATGAAGAAAATTTATTGTTTGCACTCGCGGTTACCGATTCAAGTGTCTCAAATGATGGAAAATTTTCGTCACTACCTGACCCAAAAAGTTACAATGAAGCTCATCAAGAAAAATATTTTCTAATGTGGAAAGCGGCGGAAGATTCCGAAATAAAGTCATTAAAGATCTTAGGACTTGGAAGATTATGTGTCGGGATGACAACAAAAAACCATTGCCGACTAAGTGGGTTTATAAGACAAAATTATTGGCAGATGGTACGATTATTTGATACAAGGAGAGACTTTTGCCTCGTGGTGACAAACAAAGGTTTGGTGAAGATTACTACGTAACTTTCTCAACTGTTATGGAGCTGAACAACATGAAAGTTATCTTGATAATGGCTATAATATGGAAAGTCCCGGCCCGTCACGGTGACGTACCAAGCGCATACCCAAAGGCTGAAACGGAGGGAGATTACGAAATACATCTACAGATACCGAAAGGGATGGAAATTTCAAGTGACAAAATGAACGAACTTGGTGCAAAATGCACAGAAGATTTGGTGTTAAAGTTGCAGCGAAACCTTAACGGTTTAAAGCAAGCAGGTCGAAAGTGGCATGAACTGTTACAAAAAACGCTGATTAATATGAGGTTTATGCAGTGTTTAACTGACACGTGTATTTTCGCTCGTATAGAGGATTGCGGAATGGTACTGATTGGAGTTTACGTCGACGATTTATTGGTGACTGTAACGAGCGTATCGTTAGTCAACAAATTTTTCGATGAGATGAAAGTTCTCGACCTTTAAGATCTTGGAAATGTTAAAAAAATTTTGGGCATGAGAATCGAAGGAGATTTAGCGAATGGATACACGACTGATCAAGAATTAACGATTGATGAAATGCTGGAAAAGCATGGACTAAAAAATGCGAACACTGTAAAATCACCGATTTCAGAATTAGAGATGTATGAGGAGTTAAACGAATTACTCCCAGTTGAAGTCAAGCGGAAATGCACCCACTGTCAAAAGCTTTCAGTCACTTGTCGGTAGTTTACTATGGATTTCGAGGTGCACACGACCAGATATATATTTTGCGGTTCATCGGGCTACACGACGTACACACGCGCCGACTTTGATGGATTATAAAGTGGCAAAGCGTATTGCGCGGTACTTGAAAGGAACAAGAAGCCTGAAATTTTGTTTGGAACACGATGATGAGAAGAGCACCCCATTATTACGTATAATAAGCTACAGTGACGCTGATTTTGCAGCTGATAAAGACGATCGGAAGAGTATTAGCGCAAATGTGATTTACGTAAATGGCATAATTGCTGGATGGAACTGTAAGAAGCAAGGGACAGTGGCGCTTTCCACTGCCGAGGCGGAATTTGTGGCTGCTGCAGTTGGAGGACGAGAGGCATTGGGTTTGAAGGAGCTGTTTGCGGAATTTGGTGTGCAGTTAAAAACGCCAATTATTTTAAAAATTGATAACCAAGCTGCAATCAAACAGCTTGAAAGTGAAGCAAGTGCGGCAAGCTCAAAGCATGTGGATGTTAAGTTAAAGTTTTTGAAAGACTATGCAAAGAAAGGCACCGTGAAACCAGTGCATGTGGCGAGTACAGACATGTAGCTGATTTGTTAACCAAAACTTTAAATGCACCACGAATTTTGGAGCTAAGGAAGCAGATCGGACTAAAATGAAGCCCCAGTATGTTTGGGAAGGAGTGTTGGAAATGGGTTTGTCTTTTGAAGAAAACATTTCCGTATACAAACTTACCGTGGTCAAATTCATACAGAGGTTGAGAGTGCGATGCGAAACGATTGTCAAGGGAATTACACTCGTGGTAAGAGAAGCAGCCTACAGAGGCGTTTCTATGTATGCTCTATATTTTAGGATTACGGTCAAAATAACTCAGGAGTTTTCTTTCTCCTGGGATTAATACACTTCCTCTTTTTTTCTTTTAAAGCTAGCTGAATTTTTTCCGGCAACTTTCTCTGGCACTAACACGCCAACTTACTCGTGTGATTATTTTGTGCAGTGGATTCACTAACAGGTTCCCTCTGCTTACGTCTAGTCACGCGTGGTTTTCCCTAAGGAGATGCCTCTAATTGACTGATAGGCCATGATATCACTCAACGCGCTGGCCAATGACAGATGGACGCGCGCAATGAGAGGAGGGCAATTAGTCAGCATACATATAAGTCATTATATATCGTTAAAATAGGTTTCGAATAATTTTTATTAAGAAGGTCTTTAACTGTATATAATACAGTTTTCCTTTTTCTACAACTAAGCGTGTTCGTTTAGTTGTATAGCTTCCTCTGCCCCTCCATGTAAGTGAGAAGCATAACAGTAAATGCGACGAGTGGTCCGATACACCTAGTAGTACTTCGTGATCCGTTCAACGACCATTGACAAGTCTGCTATGAAATCAGCAGAAGTTATATAAAAGGATCATCGCTTCTCTTAGAGCTTCGGCCATATGTAGACAAGCGCTTTGTGAAGAAGCTGCCACGTACTCCTTCAAGCAGCGCGAAGAAGCGGTTATACCGTCTTACCTGGTGGTTGCTTTGGTCGGTCGCTTAAAGTGCCGATACAAACTGTTGCCGGCCGCTTAAAGTGGTCCGCGCAACGAAGAACTAAGAAGTGCCTCACTTACGTCACGCAGAAGCTTATCAAGCTTCTCGTGCGAGGTCTCCCAACGAGGGACCCAGGTCTACCGATGAGGGACCATGGCCAACCATCCAAGGAGCTTCTATTGGCTGAAAATTCAACCTATCAGAAACCTGGATTTTCATTGGTCGTTCACGCGTCACCGTTTTGTGAGCTCGCTGTTCCTGCTTCCCGCCCCTCGCTCGGGACTCAAGCAGCGCCGCACCAGTCGGTCCCAGTGCCATCCTGGTTACATAGCTAGTAACAGATGAACCTTGCGACGAGTGCTCAGCCGTATCTTGTACGGTTGAACTTGGGTCGTGTTGAAAGGTAGTCACTTGCGCCCTTAGTCTCCCTTTGGTAACAATCTTGTTAGGGTGTTCCTGCGGTCCTTGACGCGCTTGCAAAAACCTTGCCATCGCCGCGTTAATAGGGTCTGTAGAATACCTACCGGGCTTTCCCTTCGCGTTCGGAGACTTGAGCACGCGCATGTCTTCACCACGTCAATCACGTAGGTCTTTCTGCTTGCTATTTGCTAGTGAGTCCGTATCCAACCTGGGTCATTCCAGCTGTGATATTAATTTTCGATACATTGAGCTGCATTCTTGAGTGACCCAGGTCAACCAACGAGGGGCCGAGGTCGACCGACGAGGGACCCAGGTCTAAAGACGAGCGGCCGAGGTCTACCGGAATAGGAGCTGATGAGGGACCGGGTCTATCGACGAGGGGCCGAGGCAGACCGACGAGTGACCCAGGTCTACCGATGAGGGACCATGGCCAACTATCCAAGAAGCTTTCTATTGGCATAAAATTCAACCTATCAGAAACCTGGATATTCGTTGGTACGCGTCACCGTTTCGTTAGGTCGCTGTTCCTGCTTCGCGCCCCTTGATCGTCGCCGCACCAGTCGATCTCTGGGGCATTCTAGTGACTGATCCAGTGGAAGACGATCCTGGGAACCACTGAGCTGCTGCAATCTGATCGCTGGACGGCAGGTGTGCGGTGTACCTTGGATCGCCCCTGAGTGGCCGGTGTCTCCATACCTTTGAGGGTAGACCGCGCTGTCTTGAAGTGTCATCTGGATGTCCCTGGACTGTGTTTGTGTGTGAGTCGTCAAAGGTACCGACGAGGGTTGACAGACGCTTGTGTATATGTTCTAACGTCGTTTGCGATTCTGTCGAATCCCAGGGAAGGCAGGTCGTCCGGATCGAAACGTCCTGCGACCATGGTCACTTCTCGAAGAAGGGTGACCAGCGCTGTGACCGCGTATGTGACGGTCTGCAGCCGTAGTAGGGTCGTTACCGGTCCAGTGAGCTGTCCAAGCAGCTAGACCTCGAGGGTCTTCGCGATGGGGTCGCTCTCCAGGAATGCGTTCAGCTTTCTCTGGTGGTAAGCCTTCGTAACATCAGCGTCCGACGATGATGCTAGTCCTGACTTCTCGGGACTATCGACTTGGTGTTTCCTGGCGCCTTCATCCGGAACTTGTCGGCTTGGACTCCGCGGTCTTGTTTTGTTGTTTTTTCGGGGACCTTAGCCTCTCGGTTTTCACCGTCGGCTGATGGTCCTCTGGATCATGATAGGGATCATGACCCAAGGTGTCTTTTACGAGGACATAGAGAGGGTATTTAGGTTTCTCTTTAATAATTTCAACCTCGACCATGCCCCTCCCAAGGTCCGGTCGGTCCTTCGATCCTTTGTTTTTATCTTCTAGAGTCACTGATGATCTGTCTACCAGTGGCTATTCTATCTTGTTCTCCTTCTTGACTTGAACTCTTTATCTTTTAGGGACTCGCGGTGAAATCCCGCGTCTTTCGAAGATCTGGGCACGCGCATCATTGTGGTGGAGTGGGTTCTCAAAATTGTATGATGAGACCCCAAACCACTCACTTTGCCGGACTGCCGACTGTCGGAGGGGGTACCTCGATGCCGCGTATGGACCTTCTATCACCTTGTGTACCCGTCGGCTGGCGGGATGCACTCTTCGGAGGACTTGGTGAGGATGCAGATGTCTGCCTTGAGGGAGGTAGACCTGGGGGGCCTCGAGTGGATATGCTTCACTCGGTGGGCCGGTAGGTGGCCACTCGATCGACCTTGTCGAGAGTGGGCTTAGAACCAAATTCTTCAGGGGCGCTTGTCGTCCCTGGCCTTTTCCTTCTGTTTCAGGGGTATTAACCACCTGACCTTTACGTTGCTCCCGGACCTTGAGGTGAGGGAGACCGCTTCCGATAGCGGGTCTTGGGGGGTGTTGCTACTCGAACGAGCTCACATTCCAAGTATATCATGGAGCTCTATTCGCACTTGAACTTCGCTACACAACTGTCTTCGACGGGGGGCCAGAATGTATCCCTTCCCGGAACAGTGAGTAACTTAGAACAAGTCCTTCTTGGGTGACGGAGTCGTGCCACGTAGATCGCAAATTGAGTAGTATTTAATATAGTCCTATCCTGTTAACTCCTTTACTCTATCTTTGCCTGAAGCTCTGAATTTTTGCGTCGACTGGTCTGATACTTGTGTTAACTGGTCAGGAGTAGCTGAACCCCGAGGGGCCGAGGTCGACCAACGAGGAACCGGGTCGACCAATGAGGGACCCAGGTCTACTGATGAGGGGCCGGGTCGAACAATGAGGGACCCAGGTCTACCAATGAGGGACCGGATCGACCGATGAGGGACCCGGGTCTACCAACGAGGGGCCAGGTCGACCGACGAAGGACCCAGGTCTACCGATGAGGGACTGTGACGACCAATGAACCGGATCCACCAGTGAGGGACCGGGCCTTCCCAAAGGGGGCCATGGTCGACTCCCTTCGTACCGGTTAAACAGTACCCTGATAATGAGCTCTCCTTTGTTTGTCTTTCACATTCTCAGCCAACGGTCGCTTCACTCCGAGGCTACCTTTCTCTTCGGTCCCTTTTCTCTGGGGCGTGGTCTCTTTTCTCTAATCCACGGCCCCTTTTCCCTTCAATCCAACTGGCCTCTGGGTTCTTCACAATTTAGGAAAGCACTTCACCACAGTATTCCAGCTCTGCGACTTTTAAAAGCCGAAACTGATACGAAATGACACGGTCAACACCATTGTCATCCTTCTGCATGAGCGCGCTGCCGATTGCAAAATTGCTTGCATCGCAGACGACGCTAAAGGGCTTATTCGCATCTGGCAATGCCAAGACCGGCGCCTCAACCAGAGAGCTTCATTGATGTGAACGCATCTTCTTGTTCCTTTGACCAAGTCCATTCTTCATCCTTTTTCAAAAGATCAGACAATGGCTTAGTCTACTCCGCATAATTCTTGCTGTACTTATGCAAGTAATTAGCGAGCCCAAGGAATTGGCGCAGATCCTTCACTGACGTGGGACTGGCCATTCCTTTACAGCCTATACCTTTTCTGGGTCTGCTCGTACATCGTGTGCACCTACGATGCAGCCCAGTACAGGTATCTCGGGGACCCCTATTACGCACTTTTGCAAGCTAGCGTATAATTGGGCGTCACCCAGAGTTAGCAACACAGCGTCTAAATGACGCTTGTGCGACTCTATTGCGCTCAGACCGTCCTCCGCCCTACTATGCACGAATACATCGTCAAAGTAATGGGGCGCGTAGGCACGGTGCTGACGCATCACGTGAGCCACCACTCGGATAAATATTGCCGGAGCATGTTTCAACCCTTGTGGCATCACAAGCCACTCCCACAGCATACCGATTGGGGTGCTTACTGCCGTTTTGGCTACATCAGTATCTCTCATGAGCACTTGATAGTAGCCATCCTTCAGATCCAACGCGAAATAGATAGTTGACTTTCCCATGGAATACAACAAAACATCTTTCCGCGGGATCGGCGTTTGAGTCGGAATGGCCGTGTCTAGCCTTTTATAAGCATGAACCACGCGCCATCCACCCGTTGCTTTACGCACACAGAAGGTCGGGCTGCAGTGAGGCGACTTGCTCTCACGTACATGTCCCGCCTTGGCTCGCTTGTCGAAGAACTCATCGATGTAATCGACTTGCTCCTTCGACAACGGCCATGGCCTGGTCACACAATACTTGGTGCCA